GAGGAGGACGCGGACGCGAACCACAACCACTAGCGCGGGCAGCACGAACAGGCGACGCGGGACGAGACGCAGGCTCACAACGCTCAGCAAGACCTCCAGTAGGACCAGTGTAAGGAGAGGGAGCAGGCAGTGGGGAGGTAGGCTCCAACAGGGACTGCGACTGGACAGGCTGTGGACACTCTACCGGAGGAGAAAGACCAAGAACCTGCTGCAGAAGCGGAACGAAGTACGGCCGAGGCCGCGCGGCAGCTCCAGACTCAGCAGGGACAGCACCAGCACCCTCAGCGGCAGCACCAGCGCCACCAACACCTCCAGCGGCAGGACCTCCAGCAGCACCAGCAGCAGAACCACCGTCAGGACAGACAGCAGCAGACTCAGCACCAACGCCCTCAGGAGCCCCAGCTCCAGTAGGAGGGAGGGGCTCCCGCCGAGACGCAGCACCAGGAGAAACCCCAGGCTCAGCGGCTCCAGACGTAGCACCCCGAGGCTCAGCAGCTCCAGACTCAGCACCCCCAGGCTCAGCAGCTCCAGCTCCAGTAGGACCCGCAAGCCCAGCAGCTCCGGGACCGGCAGCACCAGCACCCTCAGCAGTCGAAGGAGCTCCAGCTCCAGCAGCACGCCTCCAGCGGCGAGCAAACCACTCGCGCAGCTCCTGTGGAGAGAGGGGCTCCTGCTGAGACGCAGCACCAGGAGAAACCCCAGGCTCAGCGGCTCCAGACGTAGCACCCCTAGGCTCAGCAGCTCCAGACTCAGCACCCCCAGGCTCAGCAGCTCCAGCTCCAGTAGGACCCGCAGGCCCAGCAGCTCCGGGACCGGCAGCACCAGCACCCTCAGCAGTCGAAGGAGCTCCAGCTCCAGCAGCACGCCTCCAGCGGCGAGCAAACCACTCGCGCAGCTCCTGTGGAGAGAGCGGCTCCTGCCGAGACGGAGCAACCGGAGAGCCCCCAGGTCCAGCAGTCGCAGGCTCCGCACCTCCAGGCTCAGCACCCCCAGGCTCAGCAGCTCCTGACGTAGCACCCCCCGGCTCAGCACCCCCAGCAGCAGCACCCCCAAGCTCAGCACCCCCCGGCCTCGCACCCCCAGGCTCAGCACCCCCAGCAGCAGCACCCCCAAGCTCAGCACCCGCAGGCGTAGCACCCCCAGACTCTGCACCCGCAGCAGGACCAGACTCAGCAGCAACCTCGACTGGCTCGACTGTGTCTACCTGGGACACACCTGAAGGGGCAGGAACCTGAGGGGGGAGGGGGTCTACCGGGGGGGGAACTGGCACCAGGAAGTCCGGTGGGGGGGGGAGGGAAGGAGTACGGTAGGGGAAGAGGCGGTAGAAGGGGACTGACTCGTCGAACGTGACGTCCTGGGAGGACAGAACACGACGAGAGGAGGGGTGGTAGAACTGCCACCCTGGAGCGTCAGGGGGGAAGCCAAGGAAGACACAGGGAGCAGCACGGGGGGACAGCTTGTCCGCAGACAAGTCGCGGACAAACGCCCGAGATCCCCAGACACGGAACGCAGACGCATCGCCGACCTTCCCCGTCCACAGTAACACTGGGGACATCGCGGGCCGAGAGACCCTGGGGTGAAGGTTGAGCTGATGCGCCGCGTACCGAACCGCAAACGGCCACAGAAAATGGGGGGCAGCCGCATGCATCATGGACGTACGAGCGACATCCATGACCATGCCAATGCGGCGCTCAGCAATCCCATTTTGCTGTGGAGAGTCCGGAAGCGTAAAGGTCTGGCGGATCCCCTGTGCACGACAGTAGTCTCGCAGAAGGCGAGAGGAGAACTCCCCACCTCGGTCAGAGTGCAGACGCAGAACAGGAAAGTCCGAGCCGAAGCTCCTCCTGAGCTGGAGACGAGCCTCGCGGATCCAGTCGATCAGCACCTCAGTGACAGCACCCTTGCTGCGCAAGGGGAAGACTGTGGTGTAACGCGAGTAGTCGTCAACCACCAACAGGAAGTAGCGCTCGTGACCCTGCCCACGGACGGGGGCAGGGCCCCACACGTCCATGTGAAGTGTCTGCAGAGGAGCCTCTGTCGGGGGAAACTAGGAGGAGTGAGGAGCAGCCCTGAGGCGCCCCTCGACACAGGGGACACAGGAAGGTCCTGGTCCCGAAGGAAGGGGAGGGAGAGACTGGGGAAGACCAGAGACAAGGACACGGGAAGCCATGCCCCGAAGACGGGGCAAGGAGGGGTGGCCAAGACGGTGGTGCCACAGGAGAGTCTCGTGAGACAGGAGGCGACACGAACATGGGGCAGACTCAGGACCAGACCTGGACGCAGCAGCAAACACCTGACCTGACGCTGCTACCTGACCGGACGCAGGGACAGGAGGAGACTCAGTGGTCAGGGTGTAGAGGCTCGACCCCGGCCGACGCGAGAACGTGGCCAGGTGCCGGCCTGTGCGTGCGTCCGTGCAGTGGGTCACCCGCTGACTCGCAGGAGTGAACTGGTGAACCCCCGCATCCTGCAGGTCTGCACCACTCACCAAGTTCGTCGAGAACGAGGGGAGGTACAGGCCAGACAGGGTGCCCGAGGGGGCAGCCGGACACGGGAGGACAGTGGAAAAGTGAGAGAGGACAGGACCCCCAGAGGGGTCAGCCAGGGAGACTGCAACCGGCCGACCAAGCGGCGTGAGTGTGGTGCGGTCCCGAAAGAAGGAGCGAGAAGCCCTAGAGTCAAGTGTAAAGGTGAGGGAGGCCGAAGCCAACGTGGTACCTGAGAGCGTAGCCTCACCCGCACCTGAGAAAGCAGACTCACTAGCACCTAGAGCAGCAGCCGCACCTGTACCTGGAGCAGGAGACTCACTAGCACCCAGAGCAGCAGCAGCCTCACCAGTAGCTAGAGCAGCAGGTCCTATACCCGGGTCAGGCGGTACGCACAGGTGACCGGCACGGTCAGCACTAGTAGGCAATGCATACATGGCAGTGAGAATAGCATCATAGTCAAGAGCAAATATATCTACCCTCTGCCTAAGCAACTCCACCCAGTCGGGGAGCTCAGCCTCGTCGCCAAACACGGTACGCCAGGCGTCGCTCAGACGGGCGAAGCAGCGGGACTGTGTATGACTAGGTGTCCCACAAGGCTGACCAGTCCGAGCACCAGTGAGAATCACGTAAGAGCAGCGAACAGAACTGAGAGACCCTCCACTCTGAGCGTACCACTCACGAAGCTGCTGAGGCGTGAGAGACGCGCGGGGGGGTCGCGGGAGCTGCATCTGGCCGCCACCAGTAGTAGAAGCAGCAGGAGTGGTAGCAGTAGTAGCGCCACCACCCCTACAGCCCCAACCAGCGTACCACTCACGCAGCTGCTGGGGCGTGAGGGACTCACGCAGACGTCGATGGGGCTGCATCTGGCTCCACCAGTAGAGGCAGGAGCAGGAGTAGCAGCAGTAAGGCAGGCAGCCAGGCAAGCCAAAAAGGGAGGCAGGCAGGCAAGCAGGCGACGCGCAGCGTGCTAGCAGGGCAGGGGCTCACCAGTGGTGGGTAGAGTAGGCTCGGCGACTCAGCGGCCGGCAGCACGGCGGCTGTGCGGCTCGGGCGACTCGGGCGGCTCGGCGGCAGGGCGGCTCGGCAGCAACTGCAGCTCGGCAGCTCGGCGACCCGGCGGCGCGGCTGTAGGGCGGCTCGGCTGCTGGGAGGCTCGGGTGTAGAGCGGCTCGGCTGCAGGGCGGCTCGGCTGCTGGGAGGCTCGGGTGTAGAGCGGCTCGGCGGCGAGGCGGCTCGGCTGCAGGGCGGCTCGAGACGAAGGAGGAGGAGAAGCAGGGGAGACCACACACCTGCCACCCCTCAGCTGGCCTCTCAAGTCGCCTCAACAGGCAACGGGAAAAGGGGGGGGGGGGGGGGGGGAGGCGGCTCGGGCGGCTCGGGCGGCTCAGGCGGCTCGGGCAGCTCGAGCAGTCAGCGGCACAGGCGGCTCGGGCGGCTCGGCTCCTCAGCTGCACAGACGGCTCGGGCGGCTCAGGCTGCACGGCGGCTAACGGGCGGCGTGGGGGGGGCTGGGACGGCGGCGTGCAGCAGGGACGGGAGGCGCACGGGCGGTGTGAGGCCGGGACGGGTGAGGGGCCAGGACGGGCGGCGTCCTGGCGCCGAGGGGCCGAGACAGGAGAGCGCGGCCGGGGCGGGCGGCACAGGGCGGCTTGGGGCCGGGTCGGGCGGCGCGCGGGCGGTGAGGGGCCGGGACGGGCGCGCGCGGGCGGCTAGGGGCCTGAACGGGCGGCGCGCGAGCGGCTAGGGGCCGGGACGGGCGGCGCGCGGGCGGCTAAGGGCCGGGACGGGCGGCGCGCGGGCGGCTAGGGGCCTGAACGGGCGGCGCGCGAGCGGCTAGGGGCCTGAACGGGCGGCGCGCGAGCGGCTAGGGGCCGGGACGGGCGGCGCGCGGGCGGCTAAGGGCCGGGACGGGCGGCGCGCGGGCGGCCAGGGGCCTGAACAGGCCCGCGCGGGCGGCTAGGGGGCCGCAGGGCAGGCCGAAAGAGTGAGAGCGAGGGTCGGAGCGTGCTCCGGGCAGAAAAAAAAGTTTAAAAGTGGTGGGCCCTAAGCTCAGTTCCCACGGGGGAACCTGCTCGATACCATGTGGACAATAGAACGAGAATGAATGAACTATCAGTGAAGTGAGTACAAATAGCAAAACCCTAATTGGGTTGTACCCCCTATGGGATACCCCACTGTAGCCTACACAACAGCATAAGCTACATATATGTTCCGACATTGCCGACCTGGGCAGCTCGGGCGTACGAACCCAAGGCGGCCACCCCCTCCCAGACACTGTGGAAGTTTCTGCTGATGAAGACGATGACCCTCTTGGGTCACCACACCCTTCTCCGCGGAGGCAGTCTCCGAGCGATCGAGCTCCCCGACCTGTTTTTGTACAGAATGGGGAACGCGTTGCCCGAGCACTCCACGCGACGGCCGGTTGTCATGGTCGTCGCGTCACGAAACTCCAAGACGAACAAGGATGCTCGTCTGCATCACAGCTACGCGGCGAGACACCTGGAGCAAGAGATGTGCGCCGTCGGTCACACACTAGTGTGGCTGCACTTCGTGTACGACCAGCTGAGCCGCTCGCCCACCTCTCGATGTGTGCCGCCCCTCGACTTCACAACTCCGTACAGCTGGTATCACAAGCACCTCTTTCATGCTCGAAACGACAAGGCACAAAAAGAGCTGCCGGCTTCATCTCATTCTCGGATCACGAAAGAGATGTGGCGGACGAACAAGATCTTCATCACGCGCAACACCCACGCCGCCCGGGCGGGTGGGGCACAGGAGCTGGCCGACGACGGCGTTCCGCGATCTGACATCGCCGACTTGGGCCACTGGGCGCTCGACAAGCTCGCGAAGAGCTACATCACGACCATCCCGAAGGCGGCGGTGTTGAGAAAGGCCGGCTACACGGGCAAGCGCGGCGACTACCACCTCGGCCGGAGCATGGTGAAGCCCGACGACAAGGTGGTGGCCCTCATCGCCCAGCACATCTTTCCGTGGGCGGAAGCGGAACTGGCCAAGGTGAGCATTTCGGACGGCAAAAACGCCGACAACCCGCCGACCATTTCCACGACGACATTCTACCGACGGCTGATTGTGTTTGTGTTTGTGTTCAACTCGCAGGCGGTAAGGTGCGCATCCGCGAGAGAGCCCAACACGGCCGGGGTGCACTTCCTGCAATCGCTCATCGAGTTCGGCCGCCGAATCGTTGCCGAGGATCTTGCGTGCATGCTGATGCGCGAACCGTGGCACCCGTACGTCCAGAGTTCCAAGCTCTGCCGCGACCCCGACTTCCAGAAATGGGCCAAGGACGTCAACCGGGTGGACCTCGAAACCATCGCGACGCGCAGTACTCCGAGCGAGAACCCCCAAGAGGTACGGCGTGCGCGTTCCGGCGACCTGTAAAACAAGTCGTCCTGCCACATTGCCTCACCTTTTGCCGACCATCCCCCTTGGATCGCAGGAATTCAGCGCGCGAGTTGACGCCGAATATCAGGTCGACCAGCTCACCATGATGCTGCACCGCCAGAGGGAGGATGCCGCGATCGAGAAGCTTGAAATGCAGAAGAAGTTGGAGGAGAAGGACGCGGAGATCGCGAAGTTGATGCAGGCTCTCAAGCTGGCCGAGGCACGGACGACGCCGACTGCGCCGGCACCGTCAAGGCCGATGACCGCCACCGAGAAGGCAACGTCCGTCAAGATCGAGAAGGAACAGAACGATGACCTGACGTACGAGGTCAACGTCGTGCATCCGTGGCGCACATCCAAGACGGTCGAGGCTGCATGGCGCTGGTGGAACAACCCGTCCAACTTCGACTCGCGTCCGTTGCGCGAACGTTACGACGAGCACAGATTCCTCGTCAGACACACGCGCATGATCTGCAAGGACGAAAAGGGCGACAAACCCGCCGCGTCGGCGAAGAGCTCTCGTCCCACGACCGAGGTGGGTGAGACGGGGAAAAACGATGCGCTGCAGCACTGCGCTCGCCGGATGAGGCGGATCATGGAAGCGGTGCACGACTTGCGGCGGAGCGACGACGCCGCTGACACCGCCGCCGTCATCAAGCTACTCGACCACCTGGGGCGAACGGGGCTTTCCACTTTCAGCGACGCGCTCTTGGTCCTCCGTGCAACCCCGCCCATCAAGGTCCCCACCACAGCCGACGGAAAGTCGGTCGGCATCAAGGGTCTGGCCAAGCCGCTGGCGAGGAAGCTCGCCGTTGCGTGGGGCGTGGTCACGGCGGGCTACATGGACGCTGACTGGGGAAAGAGGCTCTTCGGTGACTTGTGGGATGAGCAGGCCAATAAGGCCGGCTTGGAGGCCGAGGCGACGGCGGGAGCCATCGGCGCAGGGAAGCGCAAGAGGGCGGGCTGAGGGTACTGCGTCTGGGTCCGACTTGTGCTGCTGGCTGGGCGTGGTGTGACTGAGGGTGGGTTGAGGGCGGGCCGAGGGCGGGCTGAGGGCAGGCTGAGAGTGGGCTTGGGGTGTGCTGAGCGTGTCCGACCTGTTCTAGTGATCCTATATGGTTTTCCTTTACTGCCAACGTTGTTTCGACTTGTAAATTTGTAAATTAGTAGAAGTTTGTCTCTTGTTCATCTCAGAATCCCAACCACTAGACCATTGGGATAAAAGGGCAGTGGACCTCTGACAGTTCATGCATCAAACCGGCTCCACACCTCAAAACCTACTTCACAACTTTTCTGAAAAACTACCGACGAACAAGTTCAGCATCCCTAAGCCGGAGAGGCACAACAAAACAACAAAACAGCACCCGAAACGGGACACGTCGACCATGTCACGAGCGGTCGGGCCAGCGTTTGTAGGTCTTCGTCAGAAAGCCTGCAGCGTTTGCACCCACGCCGACCATGCTACGAGCAGGCGGGCCAGCCTTCGTCGACCTAGGCGTCGGCGACCTGCTTCCCTTTGTGCTGCTGCCCCCTCGTCCCCCTGTCCCGAATGTTAATCTTCATCTGGGGGTCGATAGGCAAATCGACGCCGCGAGCCTTGAGCTTCGGGCCTCCGACATTGCAGTCCCCCCAGAAGGCGAGGTTCTCTATCATGACACGGGCGATCAGCTCGTCGTGCTCGCGCTCCTCTCCGACCTCAGGCAGCGACCTCACCACAGCCGCCTGCAGGTCCTTCGTCACCGTTTCGGCGACCTCCCCTACGACGACCACCCGGGAGGCCGCCCGCTGAAGCACCGCCTCGATGACGGTCCGACACCGACTCGCGAACTCGTTGGACGCTCCGCGCATGGTCGCTGCCGCCCCCCCTTCGCCGGCCGCTACTTCCGCCGTGGCATTGGTCTCCGAAAAACACCACACCGCGGCCGCAGTACCGGCGAGGATCTCGGACAACCGCTCCGACCCGACGCCCGAAATGGGCGTCACTTTCGCGGCCACCGGTGCAAAGGCGGCACACATCGAAACGCGTGCGATCATGTCGCTCGCCACCTTCTTCTTCGCGGCCTTCTCGGGCTCGGTCGACTCCGGAAGGTCGCCGAACCACACCGCCGGGCGAAGAGCCAACATGAGAGCTGCGCGGTCGGCTCCGGTTATCCTGTTGTATTCCGCGACCACCTGTTGGAACCTGCGAAACACAGCAGGAATACCCACCGTCACCGACCGCCCCACGCGAACCGACCAAAACGAGCACCAAATTGAGCATTCGCCAAGCTTACCTGTCGCGGAAGACGTTCGCCCCTCGGCTCCACATGACCATCCACATGCCCCCCGGAATCAATCGCGCCACATTCCAGTCCGCCTTATACTGCGCCATCACTTCCTCCTTGACCCCACCGAACTCCTCGAGAACCACGTCGCTGACGAAGCCGTCGAACGACGAAACGGCGACAGCGATGCAGTAGGCGGCCTCGGACTTGTCCATCGACTGGCAGATGTAACGGCTCTTCTTCCCAAACTTCATCTCCAAGACGGCCAGCCCATTTGGAGGGTCAACGCGGACGCCTGAACCCTTCCGACCCTGCGCGGCCGCTTTGGACGTCCCCTTGGAAGAGCCGACCTTCGTCGGGCCGCCCTTCGCCTTGTCCTTGCCCTTGCGCTTCTGCTTCCCATTGCTGACCTCACCGGTTGTGGCCGGGGGGGATTTGGCGCCAGCCGCGCTATGGTCCTCCGCAGGAGCAGTCGAGGCGGCTGGTGCACCCTGTTGCGCTCCCACGGTGGGAGCTGGTGCTTGTAGTTTTTCCCGCATGACCTCAATTTCCGGGTCCGGCATCACGATGCTGGCGAGGATCTCTTCGTCCACCCCGCCGGCCTCTTCCGCCGCTCTCCACACAGCCGCCTCCACCGTTGAGCCACTCGGCCCTGCAGTCGCCGCCGCGACGTTCGCTGCCTCTGCTCCTTGGTCGACCGCCTGGTTGCTGTGAGTCGGAGGAATTACCGGGGTTTTCTGACCCTGATCCTCGAGCCATTTCAGATACTCGTCGAACGATGGCTTTTGAGTGACTAGAGCCTCGACCGCCCGAGACTCAACAGCCGTTGGGATCGGGATCGGTTCCGCGGCGACCATGGCCCCATGAACGGGTAAGCTGGCCGCACCGGCAGCCTGCTGGACATGCTGTCCGACCACCGCTGCTGGGCGCAAGAGCTCGTCGACCAGCGCCGTGACACCACCCGGTCGCGCGTCACGTGCAGTGGCAGGACTCGTCGCGGTGTGGGGATGCTGGCCCGCCGCGGCCTGCTGGACATGCTGTCCGACCACGGATGCTGGGCGCAAGAGCTCGTCGACCAGCGCCGTGGCGCCAGCCGGACGCGCGTCCTGTGCAGTCGCCGGACTCGTCGCGGTGGGGGGATGCTGGCCCGTACCTGGCGGCCCGCCCTGCTGTCCGACCACCGCTGCTGGGCGCAAGAGCTCGTCTACCAGCGCCGTGACGCCAGCCGGACGCGCGTCTTGTGCGGTCGGCGTGCTCGTCGACGGGTGAAGATGCTGGCCCGCACCGGGCGGCCCGCCCTGCTGTCCGACAACCGCTGCGGGGCGCAGGAGGTCGTCGGGCAGCTGCGCTGTGACGCCGGTCGGTCGCGCAGTCGGCGTACTCGTCGAGGGTTGAACATGCTGGACCGCAACGGGCTCCCCGCGCGCCTGGCCGACCACCGCTGCGACGTGCATGTCGTCTGCCATCTGGGCCGTGTCGCCGCTCGGTCGAGCGCCTTGTGCAGTCGCCGGACTTGCCTCGGGGTGTGGATGCTGGTCCGCCGTTGGCTGCCAGCCCTGCTTCGCGACCACGGATGCCTCTCCCATGAGCTCGTCGGCCAGACTCACCTGGTCGCAGCTCGGTGGCGCGTCGTGTGCGCTCGGCGGATCGGTCGGGGCCTGTGGCTGCTTGTCCCCCACGGGCTGCCCACCGGTCTTCCCGACCACCGACTGAGGATCCTGGAGCGCGACGTCGACCTGTCGAAAATCTACGCTCGGTCGCGCGCCAAGTCCATCTTTCAGCAAGTCGTGGACGCCGGGGATACGAACATACGGAGGGGCAGGAGGATCCACGCCCACACCGCGTTTCACCGCAGGTCCTCTGCTTCGCTTAGAGCCGCTGGTCTGGTCGCCGGTCAGGGATTTTTCGTCGGCGACCCTTTTCCCCGACTGCCTTGGGGCCGGCCCACTCTCCTCGGCGGTTGCGCGACCGCCGTGCATCACCGACGCGAGAGCAGTTGGGAGGAGGCTAAACCCGACGGTGCCAATGCCCTGTTGGGTCGCGGAGGTGACCGCCTTCACCAGGTTGTCCCTAAGCTCTTGGACGACCTTCGCAGTCACGGCAGCGGCGATCCGCTGCGCCTCGCCCTCCATGGCGGCCTTCACCTCGGCAGACACGACTGTTTTGATCTTCTGGCCAAGAGCATCTGCCACACCTCGAAGCAGCAGGAGGTCGTCCTCCCGTCGCCTACCCTGTGCAGCAGTAGCCGTCAAGTGCAGGGCCTGCACGGTGGGCAGCCACTGCGTGTTCATGAACTCTAGGGTGGAGCCGCGATAGCTCACCGCCTCCTGCACGACCGCCCTCATAGCGTCCACCGCCGTTTGGATGCTCCTCCCGGACGTCTGCTCGAGATGGGTCACGCCCTCGGCGACTGTAGTGAGCTTGTTCACGGCCGAGGTGACCACGCCGTACATCGTGTCGTTCCGGGCCGTCTGAAACTCCAGCCTCTTTTCCGCCACCAGCTTCTCCTCCCTCAGCTTCTTGATCTCCCTCTCCGCCGCCTTCAGACGCTCGATAGCCGCCTTTGACGCCATCGTAGTCGGGGTCGAGCCACTGCTGCCCCGGGCCTTCTTGCCCAACTTGGGTCCGCTGCCGCCGCTCTTATCCGCAACCTTCTCACCGCCGAACTGTACTGCCTCCTCTTCGCCGGTGACAGCCACGTCGTCCTCCTCACGCTCCACGTCCTCCTCTTCTTCCGAGCCACCGTCGTGCTCCCCGCCCCCCTCGACGTCCTCCCTCTCGTGCTCCTCCTCTCCACCCAGAGCGATGCCGGTTCCGACGCCACGGCCCACGGTCGACGCCGCCTCCCCTTTGTTCGACGCGGCCTTCTCCGCGTGGTGCAGCAGCTCTAGTCGGAGCGCCTTCAAGCCGACCATCTTCGGGTTCTCGACGATGAGCGGATCGTAGCTGCGATGCACATCGTCCAGATGCTCCAACGACCACGCGAACGCGTTGACCGCCAACAGCCCCGCGCCGGCGACCTCCTCCTTGAGGATGTCGGGCAATTTCTGCATCAACATCCGAAGCACATGGCGCCGACGAAAAGGGTGAGTCGTCGCCTGGACGACGATAGCCCAGGCGACAAGGCGACATGGACGTTGGAAACTCACATCACGGATGGGGGCGGCAAGACTCTCCAGACGTTCGGAGAGGACTTTGGCGGAAGGAGGCGCAGCCGTCTACTGCCTTCCCCCACGGTTCAACTCCGCCTTCACGCATTCGCCGAAAAACCTGCGCTACGAGACGGAAAAGAGCCATCAGACAAGGCGGCATGAACGCCGTTAAGGAGCGGCGCGACTAGCCGTCGACGTTGTCCCACCTCAAAACGTTGGCCGCCTCCTCCTCGTGCCGCTTGGAGGAGGTTTTGGGGTCGAGGTGGCGGTAGAGCGTCCCGATCTCCTCCTCGTCGGGAAAAAGCAGGTCGCCAGGGCGCACAACAAGCAGGACGCTGCAGTGCCTGCCGGGAAGAGGTCCGCCACTGCCCACACAAGCACGACGGAGACATTCAGGGTTCTGTCCGGGAACAACAAGCAACGCGGTCGGCGTGGATCAAACCTCACGGGCGCGGAACACTCACCCGGTGCACAGGGGCATGGCGAGGGCTTCGAAGCCGAAGGCCGACCCGAAAATCAGATAGTCCGCCTTCGACGCCGTCCTGGCAGCGCGAAGACTCGCACCGCGGATCAGGATCATCCTGTCGCCTTTTCCCAGACGATCGAGCTCGTACCTGGGACAACCGGGGGCGAAAAGGCGGGAGCGAAACACTTGCGCGGTGAGCTACAATCCATGCCGGGCGCCGGGGTAAAGCGCGGACAGCAAGACAAGCGGACTCGGACCAAGGTTTCGCACGATGGCGATGTCGCCGGCAGCATGACGGACGTCACCGACGTAGGGCCAATGGTCGAGGACAGGCAAACTAGTTAATAGGACGATGCAGCGCCAAAACGTCCATCGCAGACGGACATCGTCGACCACGCGGAAAAACGACAAGGCCAACGTCGACCTAGAAAGGACGCCGACGAAAACGCGCAGGACAAGGACAAACAACGCGACCTAGGGATGCGCGCTCACGCGAGGCCGAGGTCGAAGCAAGGTTCTGTGAACTCGGCCTTCTCGTCGCGAAGGACTTCGTAGTCCTTCATCTCAAGTGTCACCCCGTACCCACCGATGCCCACTGGCACGTGGAGGGGGAATTCAGTCGCAGGCAGTGCAATCCTACTGGTCGCCATGCTAACACAACGGTCGGTATCACGGAAGGTTTGGGGAGGAGCGCGGAGAGCTGACAGGGAGGCAGAGGAAATCGGAAAGCGAAGTTGGAAAGGAGAAATGACGGATGGAGTGGGACCCCCCATCAAGAAATGGGCGTGGGCCGTCGGTCGCCTAGTATGCAGCTCGGCGGACGAGGCAGGTCGTGGCCGAGGGCGAGCCTCCGGCTTCGGCCCGTACAGGGCATGCCCTCGAGGGCGGGGTTCGGAGGGGCGGAGGTGGGTGGTTTGTGTGGGCCGTGCGTGGGGGTGGTCGGGGTGGCGAGGGCGAGCCACGTGTCCCCTCCCGAGGGGCCAGCGATGTTGACGAGGGTGGGGTCGGGCCCTTTGAATTTCGCAACCAACCCGCCTGCCCGGCGAGGGCAGCCCGAGAGGGTTACTAGGGCCTCGCGGGCAACGCGAAGCGAATGTCCGCCTCCGTGAAGGGGTAACTAGGCCCCTCGTCGCTCACGCGCGAGTTCGCCACCCCTCGGCTGCAACGTGGGGGGCCGGGGCGGGGGGCGTGGGCAGAGCCCCGCCCCGCGCCAGCCTGGCGGGGGACTCACGCGAGGGAGTTGGCCGCCCTGACGCTCGGTCGACCGTCACCCCCCCGCGTCGTCCCAGGCAAAACGGGTGCGTCACCCCGAATTCCGATGAGCGATTCAGCTCCTTTCAACGCAGTTTTGATTTCATTGGTCCACACATGGCACATAACTACAAACCGAACCTGTGGATACTGTCACAGAAAACAGTCACTACATTTATCTGTTTCTAGTGCTAAAGATTATATATACCCCTGTTAAAAAGGTATCGACCCTAAACACCTTCCGAATGGTGTTTAGGGTTGATGCTCTATCCAGACAAGCCATTGAAAAAAAATACTCGTTGGGAAGGGCATCAATCCTAAACACCTTGTCTCCCGGTGTTTAGGGCTGATGTCTCCCTCGAAAAACATGCCACCTGAAGGTTCTATTTTTTTTGTGCCCGAAATGCTTTCGTTTGACGGTTATGTGGCCGCCAACCAAAGCAGAGTTATCAGCCCGTCAATTCTAGGACCAATGAAAGCAAAACTGCGTTGAAAGGAGCTAATTTTGCGTTGTGAGCGAAAACTGGGCAGTAACAGTGCGCCAGAAGCCTTGTAGCTGCGTGGGGAGCAAATATAATCAGTAACAGTGCGTGCTCAACTCAAAACCCTTGTAAGTGCGGATGGGTGGAGGTGAAACCCAGGAAGGAACAAATGTTTAGGTTTTAGGCCCTGGGAGCTCGGAGGTGCGGTTTGGGCCGTGAAATGAATATTGTTCGTGTGGAAGGACGATATTGTGTTGTTTAGGGATACAGTGCGATATTGTCCTTCCGCACGAACAAGATTCATTTCGCGACCCAAACCGCACCTCCGAGCTCCCAGGGTCCGCTCCAAAAAATCAGGGCAGTTACAGTCGCCAGCAGCAGTCCAACAAAGTTTTGGGAATACAAAGTTAAGCTTAGGCTTCGGAAACTATTACCGTAAGGGCTTGTCACCTAGGGTGGTAACCAGCTGTTCGAATTCCAAAATTCTGGGAGTTGGTGCTGGTATAATACGGTTTAAAAATCAATCGGTTAAGTTAAGTACGGTGCTTGTTCGAACAAGCCACTTTAAACGTACAAGGTGACTGTCAAATGTTGTAGCCTGTAGTGAGGTTTGTCTTAGGGGGTACAGAAGTTAGGGTTTGTTATATGTACCCCAACCAACATCAATGCAACATCCATTCCTCATTCTGACATGGTATCAGCTAGGTTAGGATCCTGTGGGATCCCGTTCCTCCGTTCTCCGTTCGTACCTCCCGAGCCTGATCCTACCTCTCGTTCGTACCAGTTTCGTTGTTACCGCGCCTAGTACCGAGCCTAGCGCCATCTCCCCCGTCGCGTCACGCCCGTTCCCCCCCGTCGCGTCGCGCCCGTTCCCCCCGTCGCGTCGCGCCCGTTCCCCCCGTCGCGTCGGGCCCGTTCCCCCCGTCGCGTCGCGCCCGTTCCCCCCCGTCGCGTCGCGCCTGTTCCCCCCGTCGCGTCGCGCCCGCCTGTTCCCCCCCCGTCCCGTCGCCCTGTCCCGTCGCGTCGCCCTGCCCTGTCCCGTCGCCCTGTCCCGTTGCGTCGCCCTACCCCGTCGCGTCGCCCTGCCCTGTCCCGTCGCCCTGCTCCGTCGCGCCGCCCTGCCCCGTCGCGTCGCCCTGTCCCGTCGCGTCGCCTTGCCCCGTCGCGTCGCTCCCGCCCTTTCCCCCGTCGCGTCGCCCTCCCTAGGCCCTGGCCCGTCGCCCTCCCTAGGCCCTGGCCCGTCGCCCTCCCTAGGCCCTGGCCCGTCGCCCACCCTAGGCCCTGGCCCGTCGCCCTCCCTAGGCTCTGGCCCGTCGCCCTACCCTAGGCCCTGGCCCGTTGCCCTACCCTACGTCTTGGCCCGTCGCCCTAGCCCGCTCTTCCGCTGCGACTGAGTCCTCTTCCCCCCCGGTTGTTACTCGCCTGTTCGTTCGCGTTGGTTCTCACTATGGCGACTCCGCGAGTTCTTCGTTTCGACGCTGACGGTAGACCCCTTGACTTTTCCGTCTGGCTTCTTCGCGCTCGTCGTCTGTTAGAGAGTCAGGTCCAGGGGGGCGAGACCCTCTGGTCACATGCTACTGGTGACCTCCCCGAGCCCCCCGAGCCTACCGCTTTAGGCCCTGCTCCTGACGACGCTGCTACGGCTCGCTTTGCCCGTCAGCGCGCTGACCGGACGGCTTGGACGTCGCGTGACGCTGCGGCCTGCATCGCACTCAGCAGCCTCCTCCCTGAGTCCGAGGAGGTCCACTTTACTCAGGTTCGCACCGCTGCTGCGTACCTCACTGCGATTAAGGCCCGCTACTCTACTCCCGCTACTGTCTCTCTCGGCCGTCTTTTCCTCCCGTTCCTGTTTCCTGATCTTGCCTCGTTTGAGCGCTCTGCTGACTTGATCGCTCACCTCCGCTCGCTCGACGCTAGTTACCGCGCTGCTTGCACTGAGGCACAGCTTGCACTGCTTCCTCCCCCCATGGCGATTACTGTCTATTTCATCGCCACTAGCCTCCCTGACCGCCTTGCCTCCGTTCGTGACGCGCTTCTGCTGAAGCACCCTAGTGAGCTGACTATCGAGGTCCTTGAGTCTGCACTCAAGGACGTCGAGAGCAACCTTCGTTCGGTAGCTGCCGCCTCTGGTACTGTGTCCCCCCCACTCTTCCACGGGTGCACAGTCCCGCAGTTACCCACCTTCACTGCCTCTCTTGCCACTGCCGCTACTGACGCGACTGCGGCTGCTGTTACGACTGCGTCGCGGTCCCGCGGCAGGGGGGGCAAGAAAGGTGGTTCCGGTGGAGGTGGAGGCGGAGGTAGCGGAGGTAGTGGGGGTGCTGTTGCGACTGGCGGTGGTGGGAGTGCAGCGTCTGGAGAGACCCCTCGTGCAGCGGCTGGTGACTCCACTGCACCTGCTGGTGGCGGCGACCCTCGAGCTCGTCAGTCGCCTCCTGTACTGCCGGCCCCGCTAGGTGGAGCAGCGGCGTGGTACCAGGCTCAGCGTCAGCAGCACCTTTAGCAGCAGCAGCAGCCCCTTTCCTCCCAGCAGCCTCAGCAGCAGCAGCGTCAGCAGCTGGCTCCGGGGTCGGGGCTGCGTCAGCCCCAGCGCGGTGCTGCTTACCCTCCCTGCCCCTACCAGGTTCAGACAGGTCCTCGTCGGGGCCACCCTTGTGGCCGCTTTCACCCCCCTGGTCAGTGCTTTGCTCAGCTCACTGACACGGTCCGGTTGACCTACGGGGTTGGCGGTCCTGCTCCTGACTGGCTTCCTCTGGTTCAGCGCTACGGCTCCGCTCTGTGGGGCATGTCTGCTGAGCAGTTAGTTGATCTGATTAGTGCTCCTCATGCTATGTATGCTGTTGTTGACTCTAGTGTTTCTGACTCTGTTTACTCTGGTGTTGTTAGCTTAGGTGCTAGTCTTGCTCAGTTGCTTGTTGCTAGTGTAGGTACTTGTGTAGACTCTAGACCAGCGACTACCTCAGAGGACGCTTCGCTGTCGTTCACGCTGGACTCTGGAGCCTCCCACTGCTTCTTTCGGGACAGCACGACACTTACACCACTTCCTGCGCCTGTTTCTGTAGCGTTGGCTGATCCCACTACGGGACCAGTCACTGCACGTCACACTACCACTTTACCGTGTCCTGCTGCTCCCTCCGGGTCTCTCACTGGGTTTCACGTCCCCTCGTTCTCCCGGAACTTGGTGGGCGTGCGACCCCTCGTGAGTCAGCACGTGGGTGTGTGGTTTGAGCCTTCTGGAGAGACTGCGGTGTGTGTTGACGGAGACTCTTACCAGCCTCTTGCTACCTTTACTGCTGAGCCGGGCTCGGGTCTCTACACTCTTCACACTGGCCCGCGTGCGCCGCAGCAGCAGCCGCAGCAGCAGCAGCAGCCGCAGCCGCAGCAGCAGCAGCAGCAGCAGCAGCAGCAGCAGCAGCAGCACCAGCGGCCGCACCAGCAGCCCCCCCTACTGCCACTGCCCCCGGTTCCCCCCCCCGTTCGGGTCCCCGCGTCTCACCAGGTTGCTACGTCCCCCCAGATGTCTGTGTCGTGTCAGGTTCCTACGTCTGTTCCAGTCGCTGCGTCGTGCTCCTGCCGGTCGCTTGCCCACCCCACCGTTCTGTGGCACCACCGGATGGGGCACCCGTCCCTTCCTCGTCTGCGCGCTATGTCTAGTCAGCGTCTTGTCCTAGGCCTCCCACGTGTCTTGCCGTCGCTGCCGCCTTCGCCTGCGCCGCCGTGTCGTCCCTGCGTCGAGGGTAGGCTGCGCGCCACCCCTCACTCCTCCTCCCTTCGTCCGGCCACCGAGCCTTTTGAGACGCTTCACTTGGACGTCTGGGGCCCAGCCCCTCGTCTAGGCCCTGAGCGTGAGCGTTACTTTCTGGTGGTCGTTGACGACTTCTCCCGCTACACCACAGTGTTCCCTCTGGCAAAGAAGTCTGAGGTGACTTCTACGCTGATCAGGTGGTTGCTCACCACTGAGGACACTCGTGGTCGTCGTGTCAGCTGTCTCCACTCCGACCGTGGGGGTGAGTTTCGCTCCGGCATTCTCGCTGGATTCTGTCGCGAGCAGGGCATTCGTCAGTCCTGGACGCTTCCAGAGTCCCCACAGCAGAATGGGGTTGCTGAGCGCCGCATAGGCCTGGTCATGGAGATCGCCCGCACCTCCCTGACTCACGCCTGTGCCCCCCATTTTCTGTGGCCCTACGCGGTCAGGCACGCCGCGCACCAGCTGAACCTCTGGCCACGTGTCTCTCGACCAGAGGTTTCACCGACCAGTCTTTGGACAGGGTCCCCTGGTGTTGCGTCGCGGTTTCGTGTCTGGGGGTGCTTGGCTCTTGTCCGCGACACCTCCGCGGACAAGCTCTCGCCTCGTGCCGTCCCCTGTGTCTTCCTTGGTTTCCCTGAGGACTCCTCTGACTTCACCTTTTACCACCCTCCCTCTCACCGGTTCTTTGACTCCCGTGACGTCCGTTTCGAGGAGTCCACTCCGTACTACGTCAGGTACCCCAGTCGAGGTCTCCCGGTTCCTCCTCCCCCCCTCTTCCTGACTGCCGTTCCCCCTCCTGCTCCCCCGGTACAGCCTCCCCCCCCTGGTCCAGCCCCGTCAGGTGTGTCCCAGGCTACCCCTCCTCCTTCGGTAGCCCCTCCGGTACAGCCTCCCTCCCCACAGTCCTCCTCGCAGCGTGCCGCTGGTGCTAGCTCTCGAGAGGTTGGTGCGGCGCCTGTTCCTGTACCGGTTTCTGGTTCTGGGGGTGCTGGAGTTGGAGCTGGAGTTGGAGCTGGAGTTGGCACTAGAGTTTCTGGTTCTGGGGGTGCTGGAGTTGGAGCTGGGGTTGGAGCTGGAGTTTCTGGTTCTGGAGTTGGAGCTGACCCGGTGGGTGCAGAGGACTCTTGTCGTCCGGGAGCTGGTGCTGGCCGCGCGGACACTGGGGGTGCTGCGTCTGGGGGTGAGGGTGCGCCTCCTTTGGGTTCAGGTGAGCCTGGTTCTGGAGCTGGTGTTAGTGCTGCCTCTGGGGGTGGTGCGCCTAGTTCTTTTGAGGTGGACTCTGGAGCTGCCGCTGCTTCGGACACTACTCCACCCCCCCACCCCTACCCGACTAGGCACCAGGCTCGTGTTCGCCGTGCCCGTGACGAGTAGCTGGCGTTGGAGAGAGAGGAGAGGGAGTTACAGCGGCTGGAGGAGCAGCAGCAGCAGCTGGAGCCGCAGGAGCAGCAGCAGCAGCAGCAGCAGCTGGACCCGCAGGAGCAGCAGTCCCAGCAGCAGCCGCGTCCGCAGCAGCAGCAGTCGCAGCCGCAGCAGCAGCAGCCACTTCCTCCTCCTGTCTCGGGTCTTCGGATCCTTGGTCTCCCCTCCCCTTCTCCTCCCTCCTCCGCCTCTCCTCCTGTCTACGGTCCCACGTTTCCTCCTCCTGACTCCTCCCCCGCTTTTTTCCCCAGTTCTCCGCCCTTGTCCTCTTCTCCTCCGTCTCGTTCTTGGGCTACTCGTCGCTCCCCTCGTGCTCGTCCCTCGTCTCCTGTTCCCTTCACTGACCTTCGTACTGCCTTCCTTCTTTCTAGTCCACCTCGTCCGTCTCAGTCTGTGCTTCCGTCTCCTCCTGAGTCGGCCCTCACTGTGTCGCTCCCTACTCCTGTCACTGACTACTACCGCACGTACCGTCCTGTTCTCTCTCGTGTTCTCGCCTCTCTTGTTACTCACCCTCGTGCCTCTGTGTCCTCTGTGTCCGCTCTTACTGCCGCAGTTACTGACTTTGCCTCTACCCGCCGCCTTGACTACGCCACCACGCTTGTGGCTGCTCCTCCTACCAGTCCTCTGGCCGTCGGGGGTGTGTCTGCCCTTGGCTGTGACGCCCTAGAGGACAGGCAGTTTGAGCTAGAGTTCCTGGCGGCCGCTTCCCCTCATCTCTGTGCCATGCTCCTCGCCCCTGAGGGTGACCCCGACGCCCTTGACATTCCGACTCCTCGCACTTACGCTGAGGCAGTGTCAGGGCCTTGGGCCTCTCAGTGGAGAGCTGCCATGGACGCAGAGATGGCCTCCTACAGATCCACAGGCACCTACGTCGATGAGGTTCCCCCCCCTGGGGCGAACGTAGTCGACGGCATGTGGATCTACAGGGTGAAGCGGCCACCGGGATCTCCCCCGGTCTTCAAGGCGCGCTACGTGGCTAGAGGTTTCAGTCAGCGCGAGGGAGTTGACTTCTTTCAGACCTTCGCACCTACCCCGAAGATGACCACTCTTCGGGTGTTACTACACGTAGCAGCACAGAGAGACTACGAGTTACACTCTCTTGACTTCTCCACTGCTTTCCTTCGGGCAGTCTACACGAGGAGGTCTGGTTGCGTCGTCCCTCGGCCTTCACTGGCACTTTCCCTCCTGGGACCCAGTGGAGGCTGAGGCGACCTGTTTACGGTCTTCGCCAGGCCCCTCGTGAGTGGCATAACACTCTGCGTTCTACCCTCTCTGACCTTGGGTTCCAGCCGTCTTCTGCCGACCCGTCGCTGTTCGTTCGTCGTGGCTCCACACCGTTCTTTGTTCTGGTCTACGTTGACGACCTCGTTTTCGCCACTTCGGACAGGGTTGCTTTGGCAGACGTGAAGTCCGAACTGCAGAAGAGACACACGTGCACTGATCTTGGTGAGCTGCGCCACTACCTTGGCCTGCAGATCACCAGGGACAGAGCCGCTCGCACCATTACACTCTCACAGTCACACATGGTGCAGCAGGTCCTTCAGCGGTTCGGGCTTCAGCACTCCACCGTACAGCGCACACCTCTAGCTGTTGACCACAGACTCACTGGTCCCTTTCCTGACGAGCCGTTTGAGCCTAGTGGTCCCTACGCAGAGCTTGTGGGTTGCCTCATGTACCTGATGACTTGTACTCGCCCGGACCTCGCCTTCCCTCTCAGCATCCTTGCACGCTTTGTTGCGCCAGGGAGACACCGTCCTGTTCACTGGACGGCAGCTGTGAGGGTGGCGAAGTACCTAGCGACTACATCAGGCGTGGGGCTAGTTCTTGGAGGGCAGCAGTCTGTCGTACTCACTGGTCACTGTGACTCCTCTTACGCTGACGACGCTGAGACTCACAGGTCTACTCAGGGGTACTGTTTCAGTCTGGGTTCTGGAGCTGTTTCCTGGCGTTCCACGCGCTCCTCTTCTGTCTCGACCTCTACAGCTGAGGCTGAGATTTACGCTGGTGCCATGGCGGCACAGGAGTTGCGGTGGTTGACCTTCTTGCTCGCCGACCTTGGTGAGCGGCCGAGCTCTGCACCGACCTTGTTTACTGACAACAAGGCGTCGATCCTCCTCTGTCGTGAGCCGCGACTGGAGAGCAGAGTGAAGCACATTCACGTCAGGTACTTTCTTCTGCGAGAGTTGCAGAGGCGTGGACAGGCTCGCTTCGAGTTTGTAGAGTCCGAGGCCAACACTGCAGACATCTTCACCAAGGCGCTTCCGCCTTGTGACCACCAGAGGTGTTGTGTGCAGTTAGGCCTTGTTGACACAGGTTCTAGTCATGCGTAGACTTGCGTTTATTGTCTGCTTCGTCTGTACACTTACTATATATACTTGTGATCTCTTGGACTGGCCTTGTGGCCACTGTTGCTTGTGCTCAGAGTGTGTGGTGACGTTGTGATCCACCCTGAGCTTTGTTTTTCTTTTGGACTGGTCTTGTGACCGTACTCTTTTTTTTGTTTTTGCTAGACACCCCTCACTTAGGCTATGGGGGTGTGTCAAATGTTGTAGCCTGTAGTGAGGTTTGTCTTAGGGGGTACAGAAGTTAGGGTTTGTTATATGTACCCCAACCAACATCAATGCAACATCCATTCCTCATTCTGACAGTGACACGCCCTAAGGTGCGCTTCCACCGAAACTAATCAAAATACACTGCAAAGAGCCGTACACAAAACATTTCAACTTGTACACACCGGGCACATGGAACAGTACAGACTCGCCACGATCGCTACACAAAACCTACGCTGATTTCACCATAGAATACTATCCATGCCATCGTCGCCTGCCTCTATATATAGAGGCATGTCTAGGGCCCACATGCCAGCATCAACATCTTGACATGGGGCCTCAGGATCATCTTGACATTGCTCCAGCTTCGTCAGCATGGCTGATGCACCTTGCTCACGTACACCTGTGCCATAAACACCTGAAGCATCGCCATACACTGCTGGAACACCAACAATGGTGGCAGACCCTGGATCAGCAGCACCTGAAGCAGCAGCGTCAGCGCCGGAGCTTGGAAACAGCAGGCACGCGGATATGTCAGTGAATTGAGCCGGCAGATCAATAAGCACATCAACGTTACCATTGCCCTCCATTCTCGCTGCCTTTTCAGCCTTCTCCGACTCCTGAAGGAGCCGTGAACCTGGACTGACAGCAGCAGCAGCAGCAGCAGGGTTTTTGACAGTGTATGCTGTGTTTGGGATGGTGGGAATGAGACCTGAACATGGGATGACGCCAGAGGCAGGAATGGCACCTGAGGCACCTGAAACACCTGAGGCACCTGAAGCACCTGAAGCACCTGGGGCCAGCAGCTTGTTGCAATCCGAGAGCTCCGATGCAACTTCGCTTGCGAAACTGAAACACGGCGGCACGGAGTAAAACAACCGGGAGAAAAACAACCGGGAGAAAAACGCGTTAGGGAGTTTCAGCAGAAAGATCAGAACTGGAAAGCAGCCATGGGTTCAGGACTTGTAAATAACAGGAGACCTCGACACAGGTTGTCCCAGAAGCCAGAACCGTGGTCCAAACGCTGCTGAGATGGGGATAGTCACTCACCTCTCAGTGTCACTGCAATACTCCTGCATGTACTTATGCGCCTTGCTGTTCCTCTTGGTGCGCAGAAACGGAGACATGCCGTTGGCGCAGGCAGCTGTAGCAGCAACTGTAGGAGCAGCTGTGGCACCAACAGCATCACCAGCGGCAGTAGCCACACTACTGGTGCCAGGAACACTAACAACAGCAGCAGCAGAACCAGCAACACCACCATTGCAAGCAGCTACATGCCCCGTACCACTACCATCACCAGCACCAGCAGCAGCACCAGCAGCACCAGCAGCAGTAGTCCCACCATCACTAGCAGCACCAGCACCATCACTCGCAGCAGCAGCAGCAGCAGCAGCAGGGGGGTTTGGGTCGGCGAAGTTTGTCTGAGCATCGGCGCCCCGTATGGTTCGGGCGGCGGCGTCATAGGCTCTAGCAGCGTCCTCTGCTGTATCGTATGTCCCCAGCCACAACCGCACTCCCCTTGCTGGATCCCTGATCTCAGCCGCCCACTGTGTCAATAACAGACGGGTAAGAAGGTAGGTAGAGTGAGAGAGGAATGGGGTTTAAGGTGAGAGATACTAATTGTTCTCTCCGCCCTGTTGTTTGCATGGTTAATTCCAGCTCTTCGTTCATATAACACGTATGTATGCAAATAATATAAAACCAGAAAGAAATCCCTCACCTTGCCCCAGGGCCGCTGCCTCACGCCGCGGTAGCGGTGGGCCGCCTTGTCCTTGCCCTCGCCCCGCTTCAGCTTTCCGTGCTGCTTCTCCTTCACCTGCATTCCCTGCAGCCCCTGCATGCCATGCATGCCTTGCATGGCGTGCATTGCTTGCATGCTCTGCATACCCTGTTGCGTTTGCATGCCATGCATCGGTGGCATCACTTGAAACGCATGCATTCCCTGCATTCCCTGCATGCCCTGCATGCCCTGCATTCCCTGCATGCCCTGCATTCCCTGCATGCCTTGCATGCATTGCATGGCTTGTAACTCCTGTAGCCCTTGCATGCTCTGCATGCCTTGTAGACCTTGTAACCCATGCGCCCCTCGCACAGCTTGCTGCCTCTGCATCTCCTGCAACTCTTGCATACCTGGCATGCTCTGCACTCGCTGCATGCCTTGCACCCCTTGTTTTCCCTGCAGCCCTTGTATCCCTTGTATTCCTTGCATGCCTTGCATGCCTTGCATGCCCTGCACCATATGAAACCCTTGCAAACCCCCCATGCTCCCCATCTCAACTCCCCCCATCCCCACCATGCCGCCCATTCCCCCCATCCCCGCCATTCCCCCCATGCCCCCCATTCCCGTCATCGCCCCCATCCCCGCCATTCCCCCGACTACCCCCATCCCTTGCGGTAGGCTCCCCATCCCCGCCATCTCTGCCCCCCCCTGCTCCTGCGCCAACCCCCCCGCGCCCATAATCGGCGCAAAGGCAAAAGCCCCTTCATGCGGCCCGAATGGAAGAAACGGGGAAGCTTCTACCGCGTACAGGGTTCCATACTGCGTCGGCACGTTCTGGCCGGCAGAACTGCCGGCCATTCCGGGCATGGCCGTCAAGTAACCCATCGGCATAGACGCGGCGGCTGAAGGCGGCGCGACCCGCCAGCACATGGGCGGGTAGTTCCGCGCGCCCTGCACGTCAGCGGGGGAAACTGCGCCCGCAGGAGCTGCGCCAGCGGAAACACCAGCGGGGGAGCGGGGGAAGGATGTAGGGGGACCCGCGGAAGACACGCGGGGAGGAGGGTGTGCGGGAGCGGCGGATGGAGGGGGGGCGGAGGGCGCGGACAGGGCAGAACGGGCGGAAGAAGCGGAAGGAGGGGAGGAAGCGGAAGGAGGAGAAATGGCGGAGCGACGAGAGGGAGGGCTGGAAGCGGAAGGAGCGGCGGGAGCAGGCTGAGGGGAAGGACGGGCGGAAGCGGAAGGGGCGGACAGGGCGGACGGGGCGGAGGGGGCGCAGGGGGCGGAGGGCAGATTGGGTCGAGCGGGAAAGCCGTTCCGCGCTGCTGCTCTCGCCGCTGGCCCCGCCGCCGCCGCCGTCGCCGCCGCAGCAGTAGCGGGACCAGCTTGAGCGGGACTCCTTCCCGCAGCTGCCATATCTGCCGGCCCGTAAAACCCGCCGTAAGGTCCGCCGTAACTCACGGGCATGGGATACGGGGCGCAGGGACCCCCGAGCATTCCCATCGGCATCGTGGCAGGCGGCGGTTGGAGCTTGTCGCCGCGATGGGCGGCGCGAATTGCGGCGGAAGACACGGGGACGGGAACGGAAGCCTGCTTCTGCCACTTAGCCAGTTGCTTTGGGCAAGCCGGCATATGCGGCGGCAAATGCGGCGGCAAGTGCGGCGCGAAGAACGGAGACGGGTACGACGGCGGAAAGAAGGGCGGCGGCATGGCAAGAGTGGGGTCAAGGGGGAAGGAGCGGGAATCGGGGGCGGAAAAGGGGGAGGTGGAAGCGGAAAAGGGGGAGATCCCCGCGGGAGGGGAGAAGGGAAAGGCTCCGGAGGAGGCGGGAAGGCAGCTCTCGGTTGCGCCTTCGCTTCCGGAATCCGCGCCGTGCGCACCGCGCGCTGCAGCCTGCGGCGGAGAGGGAGAAAATGTCCCCGTTAGAAAGAACTCGCAACGAGAGCTGATATCCGGACGAGGACCGGGAGGAAGTCTTGTCACTCGACGCATTGCTCATTAAAATGACGAATGCAGCTTATCTCAGACTCGGGGTCACTCAGGTTCGGGATCAAGGAAGGCCCGGGATAACGTCAGGCTCGGGATTACCTCAGGCTCGGTTTTAACCCGAGCGGTCTTGACCCAGTGCGTGCCGCAGCTCTCGTCGCCCGACGACGAATCCGTCGCATCGGGGTCCGTCGCATTCGCATGCGTCGCTCGTCCGCGTTTGAAGCAGACCTGATACCGGAAAGCAGGGAGAGCGTGGAAACGTTGAAAAGCCGGACGATAGAGACCGAGCGGCAATGACGATGCGATACATCCCGGATCGCGACGGAGAAGTGACTTGCCAGGACCTGTTGATTAAATGCGGCCTGAAGAAAAGCCATGATTTGCTATAAAATACTATTCCCGGAGGGAGTCCTGCTTTTTCGGGGTTATATTCGTTAATACCTTGGGTTTCAAGTCATCCCAGTTATCCCCATCAGAAGAGCAGAGAGAGGCAAACTGGCCCGGGCCCATGGAACGATTGCTAGCGGGGATTAATGCTCCCGGCTGGCCGCCCGGCTTCGTGCGAAGCTGACTCGCGTTGAAAGCCAGGTGTGCGAGCTTCACAAAGAGAGAATCTACTGCTACACCCGCAACAGAAAATTTCCTGCTTTACGCGAAACTGTTAGATGACCAAGCTGGCAGCGGGGGAGACGGGAATAGGTCACGCCATCGGCGGAATTTTTTTGTTATGAACGAGGAAGCTATGAGGATAGGTAACTGATGGAGGATCCTAACGGCCAGGGAGGAGTTATGGAGGGTTTGGTTTAGTGCCTCTTGCAGAAGAGGAGGAAGAGGAAGGTGAGGGGAGGGAGGGGAAGTGGGGCGTGGCGGAATGGAATAGCCGGGGGATGGGAAATCATGAACTGCACTGTACAACGAAGACCGCAGGGGGGGAAGGAAGATGGCGGGCGGAGTGACGGATCGGAGAGAAGGTGGCGGGAACGGGCGGGACGGGAGGGGAGCAGTAAGGCGGAGGCGCTTGGGGCGGAAAATCTGGGGGTTTGAGACCTGGCGGGAGCTGGTCGATATTTGTTCCGCGTTTTTTGTTTTTTCTAACCGGGCTGTAGTGAAAGTGGATCTGCATTGCTGCCGTGCTGTGCCGTGCAGCTGGCACGCGCGGAGACCGAGGGGAAGAGGAGTTGGAACTTGGAGGGAAGTGCGGAATTGATCACGGCGCGGGGAGTGGCCGGCGGAAGGGGGTGTAGTGAATGGGACGGAAACGACGTGATCGAGATACATTCCCGTGATCGCGGGGGCGGGATGGGAAAAACCGAGATGCTGCGCTGGAAAGACACGTGATCAGAGTCACAGAATCAACCTGACAACAGGTTTGCTCGACTTTTAAGACTAGGGGCAGAAAAAGATACCTTTCCGATCAGGTCAGGTTTCGTTTTGTTGGGACTGGTTTCGTTTCTCCCTGAAAGTCTGGCACGCGGTTCGGATGACGGAGACGGTTGGGGGGGGGAGGGTTTGGCAGTGGTGAGGTCTTTCAACCAGACTTAGGGCGTGTAAAATTGTAATGACCAAAGCGATTTCCCGACAATTTGGGTGTTTCAGGCGATTGCGAAGTGTATAACGTGTCAGCGAACATTGCTACACAGTTCGTCAGCACGTGGGGTACCCGCAGAAAACCAGCCCCATAATTGAAAGCGAAATGTTTGTTTGGGAAAACCGCATTATGGCTTGGGAGGTTCACTGAAAACCTTGTACATTTGACATTCGATTTTTATCGGCTAATGCAGGAAAATGTATGAGATTTACGGGAGGTTTGCTTGCAGTGATGCCATTCCAGCGTGTGCGTGCGGGTTCGTTGGTGAAACTTCTGGAAAATCTTTCTGACAACGAATCAGCATTGCAAATGCCGCCCAATGTCCACAAGGCTCGGCCGGAAATTTGGGTTCACGCTCCTCCACGCATAAGGGCGTGCTCCATTTTGCTTTTTGACGGTTCGAACCGTCAGCGAAACCGGTATCCTGCTCTCGACAAGACTCGTTTAGTCTCTCATTTGACAACGTGTTTAGACGAGACGGGATACCCTATTCGCCGACAGTCTAAACCGTCAAAAATCAAAATGGAGCCACGCCCTAAATCCTAAATATGTGGGAGCACTTTGTGCAGCACACGTCAACATGCTGCCGTGGCAGTTCCAGCTGATTCGGAAGCTGATGTAGGCACTTTAGTATCCACATCCTATCAAGTGGTACACATACCCAATAGTATTAGCTCCTGGCACGTGAAGAGCATACCATGTGGTTATCTCAGCAAATTACCACCTTATCCGGCCCAGAGTCTCGGGTTGATCCCTGCGCGTGCACCAGACCAGCAAGACAGCAGCTACGGCAATTGCGGTGAGTTTTGGCATATTTGTCCCGCTGTTACGGGTGCAATGAATCGAGGTAGCGAGAATTGCACTAAGGTGTCAAACGAGTACAAAATGTGAGCGAAGGCATGAGCGAGCATTTATACGCGAAACATGCAAAACGGTAACGCGGTGCGTGCGAACTTGCTAGTGCTACGCTGGAGCGAGGCTCGGGCTAGTCCCGAAGCGTAGGCCGATACGGCCATGCCAGCAGTGCGAGGTTTGGCAAAACAGTGCGCGCGAAGTCGGCGAAGTTCCGTTAGCAGTAACGGGCGAACAGTCGGCTGTTGCTGTACGCGATGTAGTCGGCTCCGTAAGGAATGCCTGAGAAAATTTCTTACACTACCCCCCCCCCTTAAGAAGCCCCCTCCGCTACGCGAGTGCGTGTATATCGCGGAATCCCCGGCTTCTCAAGTACACTTGCAGGGCAGGGTGATTTTCGATGTTGCTCAGGGGCACCCAGCTATCTTCAGTTGGCGTGCGGTCTTTCCAGCGAACGAGGAATTCAATCCTCCTGATTCCCGTGGGGTGGCGGATCCGATGGCTCAAAAATTTTTCGGGCTCGATGATCGGCTCTGATGCAGGGCGAGTCATTGATTGTGGCCGGTGACGCGGCAGTTGACTCGTGGTCGGGATGTATGGGCGAAGTAGGCTGACGTGGAACGAAGGGCTGATGTACCAGTCAATTGGCAACAGTAGGTGCGCGGTGACGGGTGTGATCATGTGACTGATTTGGAATGGTCCACAGTAGCGCGGTCGTAATTTTGGTACGTCGGGCAGTCGCAGATTTTGCGTGTCGAGTAGCACGTAATCGCCAGATTGATACGTGACGGGGCGGCGGTGGCGATCAGCGTTGCGCTTAGCGATGACGTTGGCCTTTTTTATTGCTTCGGCGGCTCTGGCGCGGGCAGCTTGCAGGATTTCGGCGAATTGTTGTGCGCGTGGCGTTGGGTTGTCCGGACTCGGCGTCATGGGCACTGTGGGGTTCTGCCCATAGTTCAGGTAGAACGGGGACTGCTGCGTCGTGGCTGATGTGGCGTTGTTGTACGCGAACTCGATCAGCGGCAGCTGCTGCTCCCAGGTCGTGGGGTCGTCGCACGTGGCACGAATCAACTGCTCCATCGTCTGATTCGTCCGCTCCGTTTGGCCGTCGGTCTCGGGGTGGTACGACGAACTGAACTGTAGCCTGGTCCCGAACTGCTCCCAGAGGTTCTTCCAGAAGTTGCTGGTAAACTTCGTGTCCCTGTCGCTGATAATTGCTGCTAGTATCCCGTGCAGGCGAACAACGGCTGCGATGAACAGGCGAGCGGTCTCTTCGGCTGAGATCGACTTTTTGCACGCAGCGAAGTGTGCCATCTTCGTCAACCTATCCACGACGACCATCACCGCGTCGTTACCCCCAGGGTTCGAAGGTAACCCTGTGACGAAGTCCATGGTTACTTGCTGCCAGGCGCGTTCGGGCGGTGGGATCGGCTGCAATTGACCCGCCTTCCGCTTCCTTGAACTCTTCATCACCTGACACGTCGGGCACGAGCCCACGTGCTGCTGTACGTCGGTCAACAGCTCCGGCCAGTAATAGTACCGCTGCAGTTGCTGTCGTGTTTTTTCTACCCCGAAATGTCCCGAGGTAATCCCGTCGTGTGCCTCCTGCAGTAGCAGCTCCCTCAGTAGTGAGTACGCGGGTACCCAAATGCGGTTGGTGCCTGTTTTTACGTAATAAACTCCTTTTGCTTCTGCCAGTTGCTGTGAATTTCCGGTCGTGAAAAATGGGTCGGTGCGGTATCCGTGGGTGAATAGGCCAGTTAAAAGCGGGTTGGTCTGGGCGAGTAGGATGGCGTGGAGTTGGGCGGTGGGGCGGGTGAGAGCGTCGGCGATGTTGGATGCTCCTTTTTTGTACGTGACGGTGTAGTGAAAATTGGACTCGAGATAGTCCAACCAGCGAATCTGTCGTGGGTTGAGATTCGGTTGGGCGCGAAGGTACTGTAGCGAGCGGTGGTCTGTCCGTACTGTCACGTCGGCACCAGTCAGGTAACATCGCCAAACTTTGAACGCGTGCACGATCGCTAGCATCTCGCGGTCGTGTATCGGGTAGTTACGTTCGGGCGGGTGTAACTTGCGGGACTCGTACGCGATTGGCTGGAGGCCATTCCCGAAATCCTGCAACAGTACTGCTCCCACAGCGATGTCACTTGCGTCGGTGACGAGCTCGAACGGACGGTGGGGATCTGCAATGTGAAGGACGGGCGGGGAGCACAAAATATTTTTGAGGGCCGAGAAGGCAGCTTGCTCTTTCTCCCCCCACGTGTACTCAACCCCCTTCCTCAGCAGGTCAGTCAACGGGGCAGTCAGTTTCGCCATGTCGGGGACGAACCGGCGCACGTAGTTGACGAACCCCAGGAAACTCTGCAACTCGGTCAAGTTGGTCGGCGCGTGCCAAGCCTGAATCGTCGCAATTTTCTTCGGGTCTATTTCCACTCCTGCAGCTGAAATAACATGTCCCAAAAACTCCAGGCGGTCCTGTAAAAACTCACACTTAGATGCTTTGGTCAGTAGGCGGTTCTCACTCAGGATTTTAAAAACTGCTTCGATGTCTTGTAAGTGCTGTGCTCTGTCAGGGCTGTAAATCAGTATGTCGTCCAGATAAACGATGACGCACTTATCTAAAAGCGGGCGGAATGCTTCGTTCATGGTCATTTGGAAAGTGGCGGGGGCGTTGGTCAGTCCGAATGGCATGACGGTGTATTCGAAGGATCCGTAGCGTGTTCGGAATGCGGTTTTAGGGCAGTCGGGTGGGTTGACGCGGATTTGGTGGTAGCCTCCTCGGAGGTCGATTTTCGAGAAAACCCGGGCTGTGCGCAGTTGGTCGATCAGTTCGTCGGCTCGTGGGATGGGGTAACGGGATTTGATGGTAACCCTGTTCAATGCCCTGTAGTCGATGCACATGCGAAAACCCCCGTCCTTTTTCGGTGTGAACAGTATTGGTGCGGCGAAAGGCGACGAACTAGGGCGAATGAATTCCTTTTCTAGCAGGTAATCGAGCTGCTTCCTTAGTTCGTCTAGTTCGGGTTGGGTCAGTCGGAACTGTCGCTGTACTGTTGGCTGTGCCCCCGGTTCCAGTTCTATCCTGTGATCGTGCGGTCGCTGAGGTGGCAGTCCCGTCGGCAGGTCATCCGGGAAAATGTCACTGTACTGTTGTAACAGTGCCGCCAGGTCACTCGGTACGTCGGTCAGCAGTTTCTGTAAATCGCCTCCCTTGTCTGCTGCCTCGGCTTCCCGAATGTCAACCGCGTACACGTCGGCTCCGGCCGCAACAGCGCGTTTCATCGTGATCGCGTTGACACGCACCGACGAAGACTCAGGCGAGCCCCAGCGAGGTAAGGCGATGCTGTTACCGTTCACTCGCACGGTGCAGTCACCCGTCGTCCAGTCAATTCGCGGGTTGTGTCGTCGCAGCCAATCACGCCCGAGTAAAATGTCAGTTCCGTCGAGGGTCGTTGCGAGCATTTCCTGACTAAACGTGAAGTTACCCCCGCATCGAATCCGAACTCGGTCTACGCGTTCCCGTATTGCCAGCGGCGTGCCGTCTACCAGTCGTGCGTCGATCTCAGGTAAGCATCGGTCCAGTGGCAGTCGCAGTTTTCGTGCTGTAGCAGTGTTAATGAGGCTGTGGCTGGCTCCCCCATCTACGAAGATTTTAACTAAGTCTGTCCCAATTTTCCCACTGAGCAGTATAGGGCTATCTACCGTGGTACCCTCCTTATTCGGCCGGGTGTGGTCGATTGCGTGAACCGGCACAATCACTCGGTGAGGGTCGGTTGGGTCGGGCGAGCGGCGTGACCTGTCAGTAGAGGGCCCGTCTGCTACTGACTTCCAGCGTTTCCCTGCTGCTTGGTCTGTTTCTGCTGCTCAGCTTCCCCCTTTCCCTTAGCGTTTTCCGGGCATTCGCTCTTGCGATGTCCCGGCCGATTGCACGCAAAGCAGCGCCCTTTGAACGGTGCGGCAGCGGCATTTGCGGCGACGGCGCGTATCGTGGCGCTCTCGTTCGTCCCACGAGGCCGATGTCCCCAGGTGTTGTTTCCGTAGGACCCCGGTCTCGGTCGGCGAAAGAAGTCGAGCTTCTCCGCCATAGCGAGAATTTCCTGAAACTCAGTGACGCCGCGAAGCTGGATTTCCTGAGCGATGTCCTGCTTCAGGCCGCCGATGTAGCGGTCGATGCGTTCGCTCTCATGCATGTAGCCCACCTGCTCGCATAGCGCCAGAAATCCGCTCGTGTAATCCTGGACGGAACCGAGTTGGCGCCAAGTGCGGAGCTTCTGTCGCGCCGAGATCGAGGCCGCGATTGGCTCAAATCGAGCGCGCAGGCCTGCGCACCACGCGTCCCACGTGCGATACTGGGGCACCTCCACGAAATACGACGGCGCCCAGGGTCCGGTTTGTCCTTCCCGTGTCGGTAGTGTCGCGTAGTCGGTCGGCTTCGTGACGATGACGCGCCACCAGTCCATGGCGGGTCCTCGCAGCAACGACACGGCGTATCGAATCTTCGCCGAGTCCTCCGAGACGTAGTTGGCGTCGAAGAAAACATTCATTGTGAATAACCACGCCTGAACGGTAGGACCACCCCGTTGACTCGGGTCAAAGCATGGCGGGCGCTGCGGTTTCAGCGGCATCGGTGACGGCAGTCCCGAATCGTGGGTTGGTGCCGAAATCGTGACGCGAGGCTGACTTGGGGCCGCAGGCGTCGCTCTGGGGTGTGTCGTGCCGTGGTCGTCGTCTCCGTCGGGGCGGACGACGCCATCACTGGCCGCGCTCGCGGGTTGCCCCACACTCCCGTGTTGTGATGTTGAGGGTGCAGGTTGAATCGGAGTGCCAGGTGCTTGGGATTGTGCTCTCATGAGGTCATTTTGCAGTGATGAGCGTTCTGCCGTCAATGCCGCGATTTCCTCGGAGCTTTCGTGCAGTTGTCGCAGCAGATCGTTCAAACGCTCCTGCGTGAGAGTGGTGACGTCGATGTTTTCGGCCATGACGAAGGGCGTCGGCTCGTCTTAGTCTAGGCGCAGTCGTGGCTGCACGCGTTTACGAGAGAACGCGAGGACAGCGGCTCCTAGGGGCTAAGGTGCGTGAGTCCCTTCGAGTGAAAAATCAAAAGTTGATTTCCTGGTGTGCGGAGATGCGCGGTCCGAAAGAAAGGGGCTCTGATAACCAAGTGTTACGGGTGCAATGAATCGAGGTAGCGAGAATTGCACTAAGGTGTCAAACGAGTACAAAATGTGAGCGAAGGCATGAGCGAGCATTTATACGCGAAACATGCAAAACGGTAACGCGGTGCGTGCGAACTTGCTAGTGCTACGCTGGAGCGAGGCTCGGGCTAGTCCCGAAGCGTAGGCCGATACGGCCATGCCAGCAGTGCGAGGTTTGGCAAAACAGTGCGCGCGAAGTCGGCGAAGTTCCGTTAGCAGTAACGGGCGAACAGTCGGCTGTTGCTGTACGCGATGTAGTCGGCTCCGTAAGGAATGCCTGAGAAAATTCCTTACACCCGCAAAGAGGTTAGAGAATCACGATAGGTTGATTTGAAACATGGTACCTCTCCGTACCTAGCCAAACCATGGTAGAGGGCCAAGTAATGTGTGATTTGTACTTCAATCCTCTTATAACAAGTGCATAACAAGCAAAAACACAAATAGAAACACAATCTAGGCACAACGAATATGCATGGGCATGAGAACATGCATCAAGCATCCAGAAACACATCTCGAATAAACCTAGCGGTTACCCGAGACGACAGCCGGCTCGCTACTTCAGGCACAATCTGCACAGCAACACTGGGAAGCAGCGAACCCAACTCCTGAGACAGCGCCACTGCAGCCATCTGATCCCTCAACACTGACAACAATGGCCCCTGCTGGGACTGCTGTGGGTTCACTCTCCCATCCACTGCCCACATAGCTTCATCCTCCGTGGTGTACCCACTGCCACCGCTGCTGCTGCTGCTGCTATCACTTCCCCTGCTCAAGAAAGCCACCACCTTTCTTAAATTCTCCAGAACCGCCCGATCCTCGTCCGTTACGCGTGGGGTTACCGCATGCACCAGCTCCTGCACCTGCTGCTGCCCCGGCAGCGGCGGCAGCAGCATGAGCAGCGGCAGCGCACCCGCCAAGGGCGTGTTCCTTATCACAGCGGTCGCGCTCGGCGACGTGGGGTTCGATAAGACGTTCAGCAGCGATGCGATCTGCTCTCGAGCCAACGCATCCACGCCCTTCACCACCTCGTCGAGAATAAAATCTCGGAAGAAGGCGCCGCGGGGGGACAGGATGAAGGCCAGTGCCGCCCGGGCGTTGCCTGTGTTGCTGAGTTCAGCTTCTGACAGCTGGAGGGAAGCTTCCGGGAAGACGAGGGCGGTGGTCGGGAAGAGGGAGTCGAAGGGGGAGGAGGGGAGGAAGGAGGGAGGGAAGAGAGGGGAGGGCTGGGAGGAGGAAGGGAGGGCAGCGCTTGTTGCACCGTTAGAAGCACTCCCGTTTACAGTCACAGTCGCAACACCATTGACCTCACCAGTAGCACCATCTGTAGATATTACCTCCACCACTTCCCCTTCCCCACCAGCGTCCGCCCCCCAATCCGCGAATTGCGCACCCCGCCCTGACTTGGCATTAGCCGCGAACGTCTCAAACGCCTCCATAACGTCTATAAAGCGGTCCGCATCGAACACCCCGGACCGCCCGTAGATGGTGTATCTCAGCGCGGCGCGCAGGCGCGGGGACGGGTCCGTTAGCAGCCGCTGCGCGATGTACGGATAAGCAGCGTCGACTATAGCGAACTCCGGGTCGCCCACTAACGCGATACCCTCGAGAACGCCTATGGCGCGGATGATCAGCGCGAAGTACGGCGGAATGCGGAACGGATACTCGAACGTGATCTGCGCAAGATCCGCGGCGAGCTCCTGGAAATTAATCCCCTTCGCGCCGCCGCCCTCCAACGCCTGGTCGAAAACGCGCGCGAGAACCGGCATGATCGGATTCAGATTCACGCCCTCGGGAATAAAATCTAGGAGGACGAAATCTTCGACGATCGCGGGGTAATCGCGGTGGATCAGATGCGAGATCGCCTCGATCATGCCGTACTTCTGAGTGTCGGTGATTCGCGTCATTAGGCCGAAATCCAGCACGCATAGCTTCCCGTCTGGTGTTCGAATTAGGTTTCCGGGATGCGGATCGGCGTGGAATAATCCCGTGTCTAGTAGCTGTTTCAAGTAGCAAATAACGCCGACGTTTACGAGCGAACCCACGTCGTCTGCCGTGCTCTGCGAAAGCTTTTCGCCATCGATCCACTGGGTTACCAGCACTCGCCGAGAGGTGTACTCCATGAAGGGCTTCGGAACCACGACCTGGGGAAGGTCCTTCGCCATCGATTCGGCGAAAAGCTCCGCGTTGCGAGCTTCGTTAACGTAATCCAGCTCCTCGAAAAATCGCGCGGCCCACTCGTCAACCAATCCCACCACGTCCGTCGCAATCTGGGGAATGCCGCGAAGAGCCAGCCCCAACCGTCGGATGATGTACAGATCAATCGTGACCGTCTCGAGAACATACGGCCGCTGAACTTTCACCGCCACGGCTTCCCCAGTAGATTTGAGTTTACCCTTGTAAACCTGCCCGAGCGACGCTGCTGCAATTGGAGCCGGGCTAAGCTCCGAAAACACCTCCGACGGAGGTAACCCAAGCTCATCCTCCATAAGAGCCATCGCGATATCGTTATCGAACGACGGAACTTTATCGCAAAGTTTCTGTAACTCCACCATCGCAGCAGGCGACAGGATATCGGGGCGGATACTCAGCGCCTGTCCGAGCTTAATATACGCCGGACCTAAGGACGTCACTATTTCTCTTAACTCCATCGCGCGTTTCACCTCGTTCTCCTTCAGCTTCTTCGTGACTATATCCGCCGCGACCTTCGTTAAGAAATCCCCCGATACAGCGAGAAGCTGCACGATTCGGCTGAAGATCGCGCCGGGACGCTTCTGCCAGTAAGTCGCGATTAAATCCGGGTCGTAGACCAGAGGAAGCGCCTCCTCGCCGCCTTTCCCGGTGTCGAACTCCACGAGTCGCATCGTGACGTCAGCATCAGCGAACTGCTCGTCCCGGAGGTTCTGCCCGCGCAATCCCCGCATGAGCGACGCGACCTGGCACAGGGGGGGGTGGGTGGGGGAAAGGGGGAATGGGGGAGGGGAAGGGGGAGGAGGAGGAGGAGGGAGGCGGGGATTGAGGGGGAAGTCAGGGGGGGGGAAGGCGGAGAAAGAAGGGAATGGCAGCCCTAGAAGCACTAGGGAAAGCGGAGGAAGCAAGAAGAACCGTACGAGGGGAGGGGGAGAGGAGTGGTGGGAGGCCGTTAGAAAATCGTAGAGGGTAGGAGGAAAGAACGAGGAAAGTGGGGAATGTTCTAAACGAACAAAGGTGGGTTGTGGAAGGGGCGGCGGAAGGGGGGGGGGGGGGGGGGGGGGGAGGGGGGGGGGTGGTGTAAACGGTAGTTTGGAGGGATTGGCGATGGGGAAAAGACTGGGAGATTCGGCGGTACACGGGGAGCAGCGCGGTACCTGCTCGTCTTCCTCCATCTGCGCGCGGATGCGCTTCATGTCCGCCGCCATCTCCCCCACGCGCAGCTTCCGCGGACCCCCCGCGGGTCCCTCCGCTGCGCCGTTCACGCTGTACGCGTCTCCACTGGCTGCTCTGGACCTATCAGTGACTGCCGCGCGGCACGGAGTGGGCTGACGTGGAGCGGACGTACGAATGGAGTTAGAATTCTTCGTACTTAATCGAAGGGGGGAGAAAAAGGAGGAGGAGGATAAGGGAGCAGACCGCGGCGCGTTCTCTCGTGACCGAGCGCCTCTAGCCGGGCTAGGGTAACCGTTGGAATTAATGTTTGCGGATAAGATACGCGGGCTTTGAAGGCTGGATACGGCGAATGGTATTCTAAACGGGGAGGCCACTAGCGAGGCTGCTGATTGAACGGACGCCATAACGTCCAACACAATGACGACGGCGCGCTTAGCACCCAGCAGGTTGGCAGACGAGTTTTGCGACGTTTCAACGCGTCGCAGCGACTGGTTACCCCGCGCTGGAGAGTCGTGGCAGCCGCGAGCAGACGGGCCAGGTGCTCCAAGCCGAAGCTTGCGGCTGAACAAAAACTACTGAGGTAATCCAGCGACTGGACACGCTGAGAACAGGAAACCCCTTCTGTTTGTGGCAGGTGATAGATGAAGCAAGTCTAGGAACGAACCTCTGTTGTTCCAAAGCACACCACACGGCGAGATGGTTGGAGAAAGTAAGAGGGGAAGGGAAAGCAGTGAAAAAGGATGGGATGGGATGACAGGAGATGAGAAGGCTTCAAAAGGTCTGAAAAGGTATTTCACTTGCAAGCCGTCAAAATGCAACGGGACGGGTTACCGGACACCGTGTACAGTGCCGTACCGTGTGACTGCGTGAGGCAGAAGCAACGGAACGCAACATAGAGAACGAACGGACGGCCTGTGTGTGTCGGATTGGTGGTGTCGTGTCATCTCGTGTCGTGTCCGCCCTTCGACCCCTGATTCGTGTCGTGTCGTTTCGTTCCGTCTGTTTCTCCTCCGTGCGACACGCAGCTCGCCAGGTGGCACCAGCGATTGCAACAGAAACCTAGAGCGTGTGGCTGGGATCGACTGCGTAACAAAGTGGAAACCTAATATAAATCAACTATATACCTGTTCTGCTCTCCGCTGCCGTCGGGGATGTAGCTCAGATGGTAGAGCGCTCGCTTAGCATGCGAGAGGTATGGGGATCGATACCCCACTTCTCCAGTTTGCTTTTGGAGTTCCAGCCTCAAGGTGTTGGAAATATGCGGTCTTGGCTTGGGTGCGTGATCTATGTCAATCTGCTGTGGTTGTATCCACTAAATACGGCAATAAAGAATGTACATACTCCTATTCCAACTAATCCAAGAGATATACACTAGGAAAAATACCCCCACTATTGGCACAGCTCCATTTATCAGGTCACACCTGGCTATCGCTTTGAAGGCATGGTCTGCGACTTCTTAAACATGGCAGCCAAGCCTCTCCGCTTGGTGGACTCAGGACTAAGCTCCACACCCCCCGGACTTCCTGTGCCCATGCCCATGCCCATGCCATGTGCTCCAGCCAATGGGCTCGCGCCGCCATACCCGTGCCTGTGTGCCCCTGAATGACCATCCCCCACCCCATGCACATGTGGTGACACCCGAGATTTCCTGACAACCATCGGTGACGCCTGCTCACTGCCGCCTCCTCTCCACGGACTCATACCTCCACCACCACCACCACCACCACCACTACCACCAGCACCACCACCACCAGCAGCACCATGCATGGGACTGTTCATCCCGCTACGATGCATGGGGCTGCCCCCCTGGCTGGAATGGAAAGGCGACATGGCTCCCCCTCCCCCTCCCCCTCCCCCTCCCCCTCCCCCTCCTCCTCCCCCCACTCCCCAGCCACCGTACCCCCTCGGGGAAAGCGGGCCTGCGTTTTGCATGTGGCCGGTCTGGTTACCCATGCGGTTACCACCGCCAGCACCACCAGCAACATCAACACCCCCTATGTCACCACCATGGACACTGCCCCCACCGCTGCTACCCCCACGACTTCCCCCTTTGAGCTTCCGTCTGAACGTCCTTCTGAGCCCATGAGTCAGGGCTAGGTTCCCCAACACTGCCCCTGCAAACGAGTGCGTTCTGCCACCACCGCCGCCGCTACCGCCACCGCCGCCGCCGCCACTTCCGGTTCCCCCGCTTCCCCCGCTGCCGCCGTGAGTGCTGCCACCGCTGCTGCTACCCCGTGGCGATCTAGCAAAGCCAATCGGCATGCAGGAGACTCGAGGAGCCATGAGAGGAGACGCATTCTGCATCACTCCCGCGTCCTCATTCTCCTCCATCTCCTCCCCCCTGCGACCGTTCCCAGCCACGGCAGCAACGGCCGCAGCAACAGCAGCAGCAGAGCCGCCAGCAGCAGCAAACACAGCCGGGTTCGCTAGAGCACCGGCAGCAAGAGCAGCAGCAGGGGCGTGGTCAGGCAGGTTGGCTCTCGACGTGGGCTTTAAGGGAGGAGAGGATGATTCTTTATCAGCCAACTTTGCCGATCTCATACTTATGCATGATGCCCTAGCTCCTGCTCTGCTCTTCACCCGATTGAACCTAGAGAGCCTGTCTGCTTCCCCACTTGCTCCCCATGCCTCGTCATCCCCTGCCGCCTCCCCTCCCTCTCCTCCTCCTGCTGCTGCTGCCGCCTCTGCTGCTATTGACACATCCTTTGCTGCAGCATTGTGCGAGTCAGGAGCATCCGGGGTGATATAGAAGAGGGGCTTACTGCGCTGTGAATTACTCCGCGGCACCTTGCCGCTGCTGCTACTGCTTCTTAGCACCTTGGCACCATCAGTACCCTGCTCCTCCCCCCCCTTCCCAACACCCATGCCATCCATGTTATTGAGTGCATCGGCAGTGGGAGTGGGAGCACCTTGTAAGCACCCACCGTCCCCACCGTCCCCACCGTCACCCTCCCCACCGCCACTTGCATCATCAACATCCTCTTCTGCTGCAGCATCAGGAACCCATTTCTGCAGGCTCAGTCCCGCACTCATTTCTGAACCCCGTTGCTCTTCCTCCTCCTCCTCCCTGCCCCTCCTCCCCTTCCTTCCTCTCCTCCCTTTCTTCTCTCTTACACCATCATCCGGACTTCCAAACACCTCCACCACCGAAACCACCTCTTTCTCCTCCCTCTCCTCTCCCTCCTCACCCTCCACACACTCCTTCCTCTCCCCTCTCTTCCCCCTTCCAGCCCTCCCACAAGAAGACAAAAGCACCTCTGTGGGCGAAGACCCATCAAGGTGGTTACCACTGGCGGTTGTAACCAGATACAGTGCTTCATCTGCAGGCGCTGGCACTATAGCGAGCTGACAACTCTCCTCCCCAATAGTAGCACCATTCGTTAGCGCCAGTTCTCCCTCTGCTGCTGCTGCTGCTGCTGCTGCTGGCACCAAAGCGAGTCCGTCTTCCTCCTGACGTTTCCCATCCAAAAGAGCTACTTGCATCTCCCCATCACCATCACCATCACCATCACCATCACCATGACCACCCTCACCACCCTCCTCACCCCGCTCATCCTTCTCACCCTCCTCCGCCCCCTCCGGCCCTTCTAGGGGCCCAGAGACGGGGGAGTGAGAGTGGGAGGAGGAGAGGTGAGACACAGTGTAGCGATAGGGCGAGGCAGACGGGGAACTCGCCCCTGACAAGCCCATATCCGATTCACCACCATCACCAGCACCAGCACCACCGGCAACACCACCATCAGCAGCAGCAGCAGCAGCAGCAGCAGCACCACCACCCAGGGGCATCCCGGCCATGCCTTGGGCGTCCATGAGCAGTAGCAGGTGCTCCAGCTGCGGGTACTTAACGGCCAGCTCCCCCAGTAGCTCCTCTGACGGCAAAGCCAGGAACGTGGCTGATCCAAGGAGCTCCAGCAGCGACTGGAGTTGCGCCTGGGGGAATGGGGATTCAGGGATGGGGGAGGATGGGAGACGGAAGGGGGACGGACGGGGAGTCAAGTGGTGTCACTGGTGTGTGGACGCATGGGCATGGAGTGGAGGGTTGGTTGAGGGATGGAGGAGGGATGGAGGAGGGATGGAGGAGGGATGGAGGAGGGATGGAGGAGGGATGGAGGAGGGATGGAGGAGGGATGGAGGAGGGATGGAGGAAGGATGGAGGAGGGATGGAGGAGGGATGGAGGAGGGATGGAGGAGGGATGGAGGAGGGATGGAGGAGGGACGGAGGAGGGACGGAATATGTTTGGAGTGATTGAGTTGCAAAAGTGGGAATGTGCCGTGAAGGTTCAGCTAGCTTCAACATGGCCAATAGCACCCATACAAACGTAACAAAGCTAGCTGAAACAAATGTTGTGAGGCGTCTAAACACACACACCCTTCATACGCACGCACACTCACACCCCTGATACACACACACGCACACACACCCTCATACGCACGCACACTCACACCCCTGATACACACACACGCACACACACCCCTCACACACACGTCTCAGAAACATACACACTCCTTCACTCACACACAATCACACACACCCCTCATACACTCACCGCCACCCTCTCAGCCTGTTCCACCTCCATAGCGGCCTGCTTCTCTGCCGCTACTCGCCTCTCCATCACCTCCCCCACCTCCTCCTCCTTCGCCTCTAACTCCCGCCTCACCTCCCCTATCTCCTCCTCCCTCACTGCCAACTCGCGCCTCTGCTCCTCTACCTCCTCTCTCAACCCCTTCACCCTACTCTCTGCCTCCTCCACCTTCTCCTCCATTTCCCTTTCCCTCCTCTCCATCTCCTCCCTCCTCCTCTCCGCCTCCTCTTTCTCCCTCTCCACCTCCTCAGCCACCCCTCTCAGTGCCTCTCTCTCTGCCTCTACCGCTTCCAACCGCTCTCTCACCCTCTCCATCTCCCTTTCCACCTCCACTCTCCTCCTCTCCGCCTCCTCCTCTCTCCCTTTCCCCACTTTCACCTCACTCGAAACTCTTTCCATTTCCTTCACCATTTCATTCACCTTCTCTCTCCCTTCCTCCACCTCCCTCTCAAGAACCTCCCTCCCCTTCTCACCCCACTCAGCCTTCGCCCGAACCTCCTCCAGCTCCCCCCGAGCCTCCTCCGACTGCCTCCGAGCCTGCTCCGCCTCTTCCCGAGCCTCCTGCAGGCTGCGCCGAGCCTGCACCAGCTGAAGCCTAGCGTCTTCTGCGTCTCTCTTAGCTTCTCCCACTCTCTTCTCGAGTGCCTCTATCTCTCTCTTGACCTCCTTCATATCCTGCTCGTGAGCTGCTGTGAGGGCCTTTCTAACTTCTTCCACCCACACCCTCTCATCCTCATCCTCTCCAGTGCTGCTCTTTCTTCCCTCTCCTCCCTCTTCTCCTCTCTTTTTCTCCGCTCCCTCCTCATTTCTCGCTGTATTCTCCTGCCCTGCAGAGACTTCACCACCCGAACAGCTTTCTGTAAGCCCGAGCCTGCGCCGAACCTCGTCCAGCACCCGAACCAACCCTTCGTGGCTCGATATACCCCCCACCTTCCTTTCACCTGGCTCTCCCTCCTCCATCGCCTCCTCCCCCTCCTCCCCCTCCTCCCCCTCCTCCCCCTCCTCCCCCTCCTCCCTAGGCACACCCTCCTGTCCCTCCTCTCCCCCTCTAAACTCTAACCCCAGTTCCTTTGCAAGCTCTCCCACACTCCCCAACAACAACCTCACTTCCTCCCTCACTCTCTCCCCCTCCCTCTCCCTCTCCCTCTCCTCCTCCTCTTCCTCTTCCTCTTCTCCATCCTCACTCCACCTCCAGCCTGCCGAACCTGCTTGTCTCACCCGAGCCTCCGCACCTTCGGCTCGGGCCCGCCGAACCTCAGCTTCGGCTTCGTCCACCCTCTTTTTAGCCACGCCTGCCACAGCTTCGGCAGCAGCAATATCTGCTTTCAGCCTCGCTACCTCTAACTCAAGCTCCATAGACTTAGCTTCTTCCTCTTTAAGAGCATCCTCAGCACAGGATAGTCGCTGCGACAGCACATGCACATCCTGTCTGAACACCTGCAGATCTTCCCTCGCTTCTTTTGCCGCTGCCACTGCTTCCGCTGCTTTCCCCGCCTCTGCTGCCGCCTGCTGCTTCAATATACTCACCTCCGCTTGCAGTTTAGTCACCTCTACCTCTGCTGTCAAACGTCCCACCTCCACATCCCTCTCCCCTCTCCCTCTCTCCACTGCAAGAGCAGCTTCAGCGCTCTTTGCCCTCACTCTCTCCTCCTCCACCCTCCTCCTCAGCCCCTCACACTCCTCCTGCAGCTGCTCCAGCCTTGCTTCTAACACCGCCCGTTTCACCCCTTCAGCAGCCGCTGCTTCCCGTAACGAATCCATTTGCTTCTCCCACCCGGCCTGAGCTTCGGCAAGGTTCCCCGAGTCTGACTCGGATCGGGCCGTAGCTGCTGCCGCCTGGACCTTCAGTTCCCAAGCCAGAGCTTCGGCCTCTTCCGCCCGAGCCACAGCCTGCCGAGCCTCCTCCTCAGCTCCGTCAGCCCGCTGCCTCTCCGACTCGGCCCGAACCTCCACCTCCTCCGCCCTCTCCGCCTCCCTCCGAGCCTTCGCCTCAGCTTCGGCAACCCGCTCCCTCAGCCTCGCCACCTCCGCCGAATCCACCCCACCCCTCCCACCCTCCCCCGCCGAACCACTCTCCTCGGCTCGGCGCCGGAGCAGCGCAGCCTCGGACCGTTCCTGATCCAGCGCCGTAATCGCCGCCGCCATCTCCCTCCTCAACCGCACACAAGTCCCCTCAGCATCAGCCGCCTTCTGCTCTTGCACTGACAACGCCTGCTGAGCCTCAGCCAAACCCTGCCTCAGCTTCCCGTTACTCGACTCCAGCCAATCAACGCGCTGCTGCAGCTGCTGTACCTCGTCATCATTGTGGGCGGCAGAGGCGGCGGAGGAGGCGCGGGCGAGTTCGGACTGTAGCAGGCCGATCTGCTGGCGGAGACGGCGGACCTCCTCGGCGTCGATTTCTCCTAAGCGGTTGACGGTGGGCTTGTTGCAGATGTTGCGCGCCCGGTTGGCGTACTTGAGCGTGTTGATTGTCTCGTCTATGTTGCTGTCCGATGGACTCACACATGCTGAGGAGGGGAAAGAGGGCAGAGGGCAGAGGGCAGAGGGCAAAGAGCACACACATGTGAAACACACACACACACAGAGGTGGCCCCAGAGAGTTCACAGACGACTCTTGGGCAGCGTAAGCATGTGAGCCCACACTCCACTCCAGCGTGAGCACGTGAAAGCGGTTCAAAGTGGTGAAGCTCACTGCACTCGCTGCCATCAACAGAGTGGAAGTCAGGGCAACCTGCGACCCGCCCTTCAGGGTAATACTCAGTGTTCAGGGTTCGGGAGCATTGAGTTCAGGGTAATACGAAACTCCTTTCAGTGCAAAGCACCCTTACCGCCCTTCTGGTTGATGCTCAGGGTTTAGAGATTGGGGAGTCCCACACTCCACTCCAGCGTGAGCACATGAGCCCACACTACTCCACTCCAGTTGCTACACTCACCAATCATGACGGTCCGGCTGTTGCCGCCCAGCGAGTCCTGTAGCAGCCTTGTCAGCTTGCTGTCGCGGTACGGCACGTGCGTGGGGCCGGACGGCCAGCCGCCCTTGCCCTCCCTCTTGCGCCGGTCGTCTTTATCCTTGCTGCTCAGCGCGCTGATAACATTCCCCAGTGCCAGTAGCCCACGGTTGATGTGGATGCCTGGGAGAGGGATGGGGGAAGGGGCAATGGGGAGAAGTGCTTGGGTGTGGAAGAGGGGTGGACGAGGCTTGGTGGGGATGGTTGTCCTTGGTCTTGCTGCTCAGCGCGCTGATAACATTCCCCAGTGCCAGCAGTCCTCGGTTGATGTGGATGCCTGTGAGAGGGACGGTAAAGAGGGGTAGGGGGGGGAGGGTTGGTGGTCAAGGGTTGCTTGCGCCGGTCGTCCTTATCCATGCTGCTCAGCGCACTGATAACATTACCAAGTGCCAATAGTCCTCGGTTGATGTGGATGCCTGTGAGAGGGGGGGGGAAGGGCGGAGGCACAATGAGGGTCAGTGGGGGAGTTATACTTGACCTCGCTGCTGACGCTGCCCAGCATGCGTCCTCTTTACCCAACATGCCCCCATACTCCCCTCAACTGCAAATCCACCCCTGCTCCCGCCCTGCTCCTGCATATCACCTTCCTGCATGCGCACCCCCTCAGCGTGCGTCCTCTTGATCTGCTCCGACCCAGCCAGGTCCACAGTTCGTCGCCCCCCTTGCCTCGTCCCCACTCACCCGCATCCCTCGCTCACCACATGCCCACCCGCATCTCACCTTCCTGCATGCGCACCCCCTCAGCGTGCGTCCTCTTGATCCGCTCCGACCCAGCCAGGTCCACCAGATGCATCTTGGCGCACAGATGCTCCTCGTCCGCGCGCCCCCTCCCCCCTCCCCCTGACCGCGCGCCCATGCCCCCCCCTCGGGGGCGGAACATGTCGATGAATATCGTGAAGATGGCATGGGAACGACTGTAGGATGTGGAGAAGCATGAGAAGTATGAGAAGTATGAGCAGTATGAGAAGAGACAAGTGAGGACAGAGAGTGAGAAGGTTCCTGCGACCATGCCCCCCCCCCCCCCTCGCGGGCGGAACATGTCGATGAATATCGTGAAGATGGCATGGGAATGACTGTAGGATGGGGGGGAAGCGAGAAGAAAGAAGAGCGAGATTGAGTGCAAAAGCAGCCAAAGGTGGTCCATACCATACCTTTGACAGAAGTAAGGCCTCCGCACCCACCTGTCCTCTTTTGACAGCTCATACCACCTGCTCCGTCAACCCCGCCAGTAGCTCCTGCCCCCCAGCCACGTGCAAGTCTCACCTGGACCGTGCGTTCATGTTGTGCCCCCCGGTCGCCCTGAACTGCTCCGTCCTCGAGGCATGCGATCGCCTCCTCCCTCGAGTGCACCACCTGCTCCGTCACCCCCGCCAGGCTGATGCAACAAGGAAACTGCATAAGAGCAAAGCTCACCTGGACCGTGCATTCAGGTTGTGACCCCCGGTTGCTCGGAACAACAGCCCGTCCTCGAGGCATGCGATCGCCTCCTCCCTCGAGCGCACCACCTGCTCCGTCACCCCCGCCAGGCTGATGCCCCTCCCCGCTCTCCCCTCCAGTTGATTTTCGAGGCTCCTGAACTTGTCAATGCGTTTTTTTTAACGCTTTGACAAGGAAACTGAATAAGAGCAACGCTCACCTGGATCTCGCATTCAGGTTGTGTCCGCCAGTGGCGCGAAACAACAGCCCGTCCTCAAGGCATGCGATCGCCTCCTCCCTCGAGTGAACCACCTGCTCCGTCACCCCCGCCAGGGTGATGCCGCCCGCCGTCTCGCGGATGCTAATTGGCTGCCGGCTCGGCCCGCTGCTCATGATGGCTCGGGAAGCAGCAGAGTGTGGGTATATGTTCGCCCCTCCCCCCGCCCCCAGACTGGTCAATTCCAGCAGGTCGCGAATGTCGTCCTTGTGGATCTGGAGGGGGGGCAGTGGATGGTGGGAAGACAGGAGGGTGGGAGGGTGGTTACTCTCGGCCAGCTGATCATGATGGCTCGGGAGGCGGCAGAGTGCGGATACATGTTTGCCCCTCCCCCCACCCCCAGACTGGTCAATTCTAGCAGGTCGCGAATGTCGTCCTTGTGGATCTGATTGAAGGGAGGGAAGGGAGGTTGGAGAACGGGAGGAAGTGAGGGTGGTTGCTCTCGGCCCGCTGCTCATGATGGCCCGCGAGGCAGCAGAGTGCGGTGCGGGTACATGCTCGTCCCTCCTCCTGCCCCTAGGCTCGTGAGCTACAGCAGGTCTTGAAGGTCGTCCTTGTGAATCTGAGAGTAGGGGGAGAGGAGAAGGTGGGAGTAAGGCCTCCGCAGCCCACCTGTCCTCTCTTGACAGCTCCAGCAGGTCACGAATGTCATCCTTGTGGATCCGAGAGATAGGGGGGAGAGGAGAGGGTGGAAGAGGGAGAGGATGGGAGGGTGAGAGGGTGGTTACTCTCGGCCCGCTTCTCTTGATGGCTCTGGTGGTTACTCTCGGTACATGTGACGCCCCCTTCCTCCCCCAACCTACTGAGCTCGAGGAGAGGAAAGGGTGAAAGAGTGATGTCTTTGGATTTGCCTCCACAATCCCCTCTCGCCTCTATCCCCGCTCAACTCACTTACACACTTCCCCTCCCTCTCACCTCTATGAGCGCCACTCGGATCTCGAAGCGCGCCAAGCTACTCAGCTGCTGGTCTCTGGCCATCAGGAAGACTGCAGTATCCTCCTCCTCCCTCCCCTTCCCCCTCCCCTTCCCCCCCCCCTTCCCCTCCCTTTCCCCCTCTCTCTTCTCACCTCTATGAGCGCCACTCGGATCTGGAAGCGCGCCAAGCCACTCAGCTGCTCCACACGCGTGAACAGTGTGTCCACTACGCGCCGAGTCACGCCGCCCTGCTTTTCCACCGCGGACGGCCCACAGCCGTCCACATCCCCATACATGCCGCCCTGCACCGCCGTCCCCATTGTGTAGGTTTTCCCTGACCCGGTCTGGGCGGTGGAAGGGAGAGAGGGGGAGTAAGGAGGGGCAGAGAGGAAAGAGAGCGAGAAATGGGGTTCTAGTAAGAAGGAAATGTGCAGGGGAAGGCCGTTACTCACGCTGCCTTCCTTATTGCTGTGCATGCCGCGATACATGCTGCTGTGCCCCGCTGTCCCCATGGTGTACGTCTTGCCTGATCCCGTCTGTGTGGGTGCGGACGTAGGCAGAAGGCACGGAGGGGAAGCATGGAATGAGGAGGAATGGAGGGGGGGAATAAGGGCTGTGCTTCGCTGTACCCACGGTGTATGTCCTGCCTGCCTGACCCTGTCTGTGTCGGTGCAAAAGGTGGAAGGCAAGGAGGGAGGAAAACGGAGGCCGGAAGTACCCACTTCTCATCCACAGACCATCCGATTCTCGTGTTTTGAGGCGCCTCAAAAGCCGCAAGGAGGGAGGAAAACGGAGGGGGGGAGGACCCACTTTTCGTCCACGGACCATCCAGTTATCATGTGTGCCCTCGTTTGAGACCTCCAGCTGCTCGTTCTCAATCCCTGATGGTACTTTTGAGAATTCTCAAAAGTACCATCATCGTGTGTGGCCTCGTTTGAGACCTCCAGCTGATCCTCGTCAATCCCCCCAGGCCCAAGCCGCAGAGCCAGCACACACCACACCCGTGTCCGTCTCTCCCTCTCACCTGCCCATAGGCGAACACAGTAGCGTTGCCTCCCCCGAACAGCCCGTACAGCCCTTGTTCCCTGCTCTCGCCTCGCCTGCCACTTCTCTCCTCTCACCCGTCAGTCCCCTCCCCCTCTCACCTGCCCATATGCGAACACAGTGGCGTTGTACCCCTCGAACAGCCCCAGCACCAGCGGCTCAATGCAGTCGTCAAACAGAAACGACATGGGCCGCCCACCGCCACCTCCGTATACATGGTCGTATGTGAATAGCCAATCCGGTAGCACTCGGACCTGTGATGGGGGGGGAGAAGCAGGAAAGGGTGTGGGGGCAGAAATGGTGTTAGCGGAGTTGAGGCCCAAGAGGACATGGGGCGACCACCGCCTCCTTCATACACATGGTCGTACGTGAATTGCCAATCCGGCAGCACCCGGACCTGTGATTGGGGTGGAGATCCGGCAGCACCCGGACCTGTGATGTCGGGGAAAGGATGGCAGGTGATGCAGAGGTAAGGCGCAAGTAGGCATGGGGCGACCACCGCCCCCACCGTACATGTGGTCGTACGTGAATAGCCAATCTGGCAGCACTCGGACCTGTGATTGGGGGGAAGAGGTGGGGAGGCACGGGGTAGGGAGGCACGTGGTGGGGAGGCACGTGGTGGGGAGGCACGTGGTGGGGAGGCACGTGGTGGGGAGGCACGTGGTGGGGAGGCACGTGGTGGAGAGGCACGTGGTGGGGAGGCACGTGGTGGGGAGGCACGTGGTGGGGAGGCACGTGGTGGAGAGGCACGTGGTGGGGAGGCACGTGGTGGGGAGGCACGTGGTGGGGAGGCACGTGGTGGAGAGGCACGTGGTGGAGAGGCACGTGGTGGAGAGGTAAAGCCAAGGGAAGATGAAGCAGTAATGTGGAGCACAAGAGGACATGGTCTCACCACTGCACCCACGACATATATAACATTCCAGATGAAGCAGTAATGTGGAGAACCAGCCAGGCACCCACTTGGACCGCCATGCACCTCTCTCCGTGTCACCATTCTCAACCGCTCTGCACCGAATCGTTCCGCATACATATCTTTCATCGCCCATACACACCTGCGGCGCGCCTCCAGGGGGAACAGTGACGCACTCCATACACCTCGTTGTAAGCTCCCTCGATATAAGCGGTCGAATGTTCACCGCTACAGTCACAGGCTGCGGCCCATGCGCCACACCAATCAGCGCACTGCTGCTGAACTCCGCCCCTCCGCTGATTCCGCTGCTTCCGCCGCCCGCGCTGAACCCCGCACTGACCCCCGCGCTGACCCCCGCGCCGATTCCTTCCCCCCCAGCGCCATATCCTCCCCCCGCGCCGTACGCCCCCGCTTTCGCGTCGGGGAAATACGCGCTCCTCCCTTCCGCGGAAAACCCTCCGCCGATCCCCCCTCCGCCTGCGCCGAATCCGAGCCTCCCTTCCGCGCTTGCGACTGCGCTTCCGCCATACATCCTTCCCCTTCCTTCCCCGCTGCTTGCAACACTCCGCGTGCGCCTCTCCGCTCCGCCCGCACCTCCCGCGCCTCCCCCGTCCAAACTCCCCCTCGCCCCCCGCGGCCGGGCCACCCACCCCATGGCCGGCCCGTCGTTCCTCGCCGGCGAAAGCGCCTCCTGTGGCCGGTAAGTCTCCTGCGGCCGGTAACTTTCCGGCCGGTAATTTCCGGGAAGGCTCATTCTCCTCGGCTCGAGCGGCGCGAATCCAACCGTCCGCTCGCTCGGGGCGCGTACAAGCCCCCCGATAAAAGAACACCCGTCATTATCCGAGCCGCCGTTCCTCCACGACGGAGCCGCCAAATCTCCCGACGCCCTGACGGACGACGTCACCTCCGCGGATCGACGGAAATCGTTAAATTCTGACGGACGTCGGTAGTCGGCGAAGTCTGAGGGATCCGGGGACGCGCTGCGCGCGGGCTTGGGCCGCGGCGTCCATCCGAACCGCTGAGGGCTAGCTTGGGAGATCGTGGGGCTAACTTGAGCGATCATGGGGCTAGCTTGAGTGATGACGTGGCTAGCTTGGAAGGCTTGGGTGGTGTGCGTAGTTTGGTTGATGTGACTAGTTTGGGTGATATGGGCAGTTTGACTGATGGGAGGAGCTTGGGCGGTGTGAATGGCTTGACTGAAGTGGGAAGGCTGGGCGATTTGGGAACGTCCGAATCGTTCCGGGGTAGCGGCTCGGGATAGCAGATGCAGCTGGGTACGTTCCGCATGTTCCGCCGCATTCTGCGGCTGCTTGCTGACCGTTACAAGCGGCTTCTCGGGAGCGTACGGTTTCAACAGCGAGCTGCTAACCTCTCCCTGGTTGCTCACCGTGGAACGCGGCGGGTTTTGCGGAGCATCGAAGAACAAAGCCGGCTCCGTTATTCCCGCGTGATTACTGCCCGTTACAAGCGGCTTCGTCGCAGTATCGGAGCAATCAGAATCCGGGAGAAGCAGCTCCGTTGTGCTTTCCTCCTCCGTGTCCGCAGCTGCATGTAGCTTCCCTGCTCCCGGCTTCTGCTCCGGGAAAAACTTTGCACTTATTCTGTCCTGCGCGTTCGACTTTTGAGGCGCCTCAAAGGCTGCATGTAGCTTCCCTGCTCCCGATTTCTGCTCCGGGAAAAACTTCGCACTTATTCGGTCCTGCGCGTTCGCGTCCGCAAGTGGCTTCTCTGTTCTCGCCTGCTGCTCCGTACCGAACGTCGCTTGCTCGTGTTGCTTCGCAGCGATTCGAGCCGGCCTTTCCGGCCGCTCTTCACCTGTCGACTGGGCTTGCGACTCAATCGCCGCATTCTCCGGGATAGCTTGCTGCCGCTGCTTCTCCTGCTGCTGTGGCGGCTGCTCCTGCTCTTGCTTCAGCTCCTGCTTCTGTTCCTGCTGCTGCGTGTTTTCGAGCTCACGTATCACAGTAATCTTCTGACGCCATGCTTCCGTAGTTGCTTCCGCTGTTTCCGCTACTTCTCTTACTTTCACTTCCTGCCGTGCTGGCTGTGCCTCCACTGGCGTTCCTTCCGAGTGTTTCACGAGCTCTTTAAGAACCGTCTGCTGCGTGCTCCTAACTTCGAGAGCCACGGAAATCGTCTGCGGTGACTTCTCCAAAGCTTCTGCCCTGACCTGACGTCTCTGCTCCAGCAATTTCTCCTCTGAAGTTCCCTCGAGATTTACTGGAGGAGCCTGCTGCTCCTGCTGCAACTCCTGCTGCTGCTGCTGCTTCTGCTGCTCCTGCTCCTGTTGCTGCTGCTGTTGCTGCTGCTGCGCCTGCTGTTTCTGTTTGTCGTCGCTTGTTTGAGGAGGTTGGTGAGAAGCCCTGACCACCTCGGAGGGAAGCTCCAGTATTTCTCGACCCCCGGGCGTCTCTTGAGCCGCAGGCGAACCTTGAACCACCGGCTTCTCGCCACTCTCCACCGCTTTGCTCGTCATTACCTCCACTTGGGCTTCTATCGGCTTCTCCTGCAAATGATCTCGCACTCCCTCCAGCACCATCTCATGCACCTCCTCCTGCACCTTTTCCACTATATTATCCTGCATCTTCTCCTCTATTTTATCCTGCAATTTCTCCTCTACCTTCCCCTTCATCCTCCCCTCTGAATTCTCCTGCACATTCTTCTGACCCACGACGTCGACTGGCTCACTTATAAGACGCGCTCTTCTATCCTCGGTCACCGTGTCGCTACCATCGTTCGACAGTCTCATAGCCGTTACTCCACCTCCCGTCTGCGGAAGTTCCACGGCCGGCGGCGCGGAGAGCGCCGACGTCGCCTCCTGGGACTCGTCCGCGCGGTCGTCAGTAAGGTTGGAGAACAGACCCGAAGAGTCTATTGATTCCGCAAACCCGTCCAGCCAAGCTACCTCCGACTCGCTCTCCGCTTGGTAAAACTTCTCCTGATTCCCCGCTTCCTCCACGTTTTCGTACTGTTTGACGTGTTCCTTCTTCGCTCCTTTTCTCCCTCCTCCCGACCTCCTATCCCCCGCGGGTTCCTCGCTTCCGAGGGACGCTTCCGAATCTTCCGTTTGAATCAAGTCTAGTGTCTCGGGTTCAGAAACCGCATCTGCATATATGGAACTTTTGGCCGGGGATTCATTCGGGCCCTGAACTGTGCTGGAAGGGGAGTCGGAATGTCTATTAATGGCAATAAACTCGGATGCTACAATGTTTTCCCTCCTTATACTGGACTCCGCGGTTGCTCCTGGAGAGGAGTGACCATGAGTTTCGGATATAGAATCGGGACCCTCGTCTACCTCTCCCCACTCCATTGGCAACATAAGCATCTAAACTCGTAGTCTAATTCGACGACTGTCACTTTATCTGCGGATATCTACTCAGCTATCAACATGTCCAAGAAAGGAACTACGACTAGAAGAGAGCCTGATTAATGGTCCTGCCTGCATTGAAGAATTGTTCCCGCAAAGTTCGGACTGCTGAGCGATCAGTCTCTACGCATCAACGAGGGGGTCCTTATGTATGGTCTGCTGATTCTGGTCTGCTGAAAGGCGACTTGTTTGGGCTTGGCTTCAGAAAAAGAATTGACGACGTTCGATGAAGGATTGATTGCTGACAGATTACGCTGGACGGATGGATGGGTGCTTGGCTGATTGGTGCAGAGCCGACGAAGCTTGAAAAGAATGCCACGTGCTCGCATCGAGACGGTTTTCGTTTAATTCAAAGACCGAGATGCTGGTTTTCGCTTCTGAAGCGTCGATTTTAACGTGACGACAAGACCGAGTCCGTCAAAATCAACGACGTGCTGCCCGAGAGCCGAGTTCAAACCAGGACCAGTTGGGGCCTAGGTTGGCGCCCATATGGAAGGCACGAAGCGCGCCAGACCTCCCATCCGTCTGTTTGGGAGGGGAACAAAGCCGTTGACCATGCCAAAGCAGCCCAGGTTACGAGTCGCGTACTCTGTCCCGCCAATATTCGAACCCCAACATCGAGGCTCGTTCAGGAGGTGTGTCAGGCTGAGTGATTTAGTGGTGTTTCCATAATGTCTCTACACCATCTCAAATGTCCGTCGCTAACAATGAAATTCCAAATTACAAAACTTCCAGATACTTCTGTGCCTTCCAGCTTGTCAGGAGCGCTGACAAGGCTACCAAGCGATTCGGTAGCAGACTGGGTCGTGGCACAATGATCGAAATTTATTGTTTATGGCCATAATTGCACACCCGACAATAGCACCCTTCGATATGGAGGAACGGCTGTGGCTACACGTGGCATGTGTCGATGCTTGGCCGAAGACCCGACACCTGGCACTGGCAGGCCAGCGTGTCCGTCCTTTTTCTCGAGATCATTTTCCAATATCAAAGCAAACGACGTGTTACAGAATTCGTTAGTTCGTGAACCGCCGCAGATCCCACAACACAGAACCTTTTGCGAACGACAGCTGTATTCGCGAATACGGAACTCCCTACATTGTTGCTGATCCTTCTGCTACGCCTCTCCCTTACATGAATGTAACTCGCACATTGTCCTACTTCCCTGCCTTGTTGAGCATCTAGCATCCCTTTTCCCACATCCTTAGCCAAATTCCCTTCGCACTAATCAGTTCCCAGCTTTCACCCGCGCTTGCATGCACCTGAGCGCTTAGGCCAGGTCGGTCATTTCGGGTGACTGGAAACCATTTATTAACGGTTTCTCCTGGTTGTGCAGATGGTTTTATCGCGCGTGATCTCGAAAATGGAGACCCCAGGCTTGACCCTCCCCAGATGCCATTCAGCCACAGCAAGACTACGAAACGCTGCTGTGTGCTTGAGAACAAGCATTCCAGCATCCTCCTTCTCCCTACAACCAGAAACTAAGACTGCGCTACCACGATTCAAGCTCCAGCTGGTACGTCGCCGGCCAGCTGATTACCATCGCTTATCCAATAGCGGCATTTTCTGTAAGCTGGCTGCACATCCTTATTTATTCCGGTGTGTTTCTGTCTTGCAGGCAAGAGATCAGATTCGCTACCAGAGAATACCAGCAGGTATGCTGAGTCAGCATCGCTCCCTACCACCAGCTTACTACCCCTTCCATCCCTGCTCTGCTCAGTTCCAATTTCATATCCTCTAATTCATCTTGTTGTCCACGCATTGTCCCTGGTTGCAGTTGCTGTAGCTGCGACTGCGGAAAGTGCAGCGAGCTCGACTAAGGGTGTCAAGGTGCAGATCACTCTGGTCAGAGAATGCGGATTCGGTCAGGCCTTCGGAGTGGTGGGAGGAGCGCCGGAACTCGGCCAATGGGAACCGAGCAGAGCACTTCAGATGGAATGGTCGCCTGGCCACGTCTGGTCGGCTCAAACTGTGAGTTGCTTTCCTCTCTCACACCTCTGGCCTTCCATCCATTTCACCCCCCAGTGTCATATTCTCGTCCGTTCTCGTAAACCTTAATGACCTCGAGCTGAACCTACGAACATGATCACTCGAAATAGTTTCCGCGACCAAACAGATTGTTTCCAACCTAATCGTCAATCCCCCCATCAATTCTGTCAGGTGTTGCCTGCCGGGTCACGGATCGAGTTCAAGATCATCATGGTGACAGAAAATGGAGATATCGTGTGGCAACCAGGCCCGAATAAGACAGCCGTTGTCTCCAACGCCAAGGGGAAGCAGCTTCTTCACCTCCCCTGGGACAATGAGGACCTTCCGCCTCTTCCGCGGACGGCGGACGCTGGCGCAGTGAAGGCAGGCGCGGTAGCGCTTGCTCCGGAATTTCAAGAAGCGGAGCTCGCGAGCGGGAATACATCATTGAAGGTACAGTATGAGGGTCTGTGTTCTTTGCTGTTGGGTCTAGCTTAGCTTCGCTGGTAGAGGCACTTCTATGCGGCCAAAGAAGCGGAATAACAGAAAGGGTCAGACTAAGACTGAGCGGTCTTTCACAATTCTCAAGTACGACTACCGTCTAGGCACTGTCAGTCACCTACGGCAGCCTAAGACCGAACGATCCACTGTCACCAACGGCTTGCAGGGAGCGGGCGAGGAGAAGGCAGAGGCGGCTGAACGCACTGAGCCGGCAGTTGAGGCGGCTGTAGCGCCCTCCGCACAGGCGAAGGAGGCAAGTGGCGGGCAGGCGCAGGAGAAGGCCGAGAAGGAGGCCAGGGAGGAGGAGGCAGTGGAGAAGACGAGAGCCGAGGCTTCCCCTCCGGAACCAGACGCTAAAGAGGTGAGGCGTTGGCCGTTGAGCGTACCTTTGAGCGTGCCTTCGAGCGTGCTTGTAGGGATGGTGAACGGGCGAAAGGTGGGTAGCGTGGCGAAACAAGCAGCGGTTTATCTTGTGGAAGGCAGAATCGGAAAGGTCGACCTTGTAGCCAGCGCCAGATGGGTTAAGGTCGTGACTGTTACGAAGCTAGGATGGGCTACGGGTGCTCACGCATACTCTGAAGTATGCCACACATGCTCGGAATGTGGGCGAATTTGTTTTCTCAACCCCTCCCCTGCCCCCCAACACAACTCTGCCTGGTGTTCCCCAACATTCCCCCCACATTCCCATACATCCGTCAGCCCAACTCCGTCCCCGCTGATGACCAGCCTGTCACCTCATCCATGCTGCTAGTTCAGCCCCCCATCGCATTTACTTGGAATAGTACAGTACCAAACCTCCCACTCTCATACGATAGATACTGATGTAGAGCCGAAGCCCTACCCTGGAGGCAGGGAGTGGAAGGGAGGTGGGGAGGGGGGATCACTCACAATCTTCCCACATAGGGGCGTAAATCCTATGCCGAGCCATTCTGTCTCTCAATTTTCCCCATCCCCCACAATTATCCACACACCTTACAAGTCCAATAGCCTTCCATGAACTTTCCTATTTCCTACGGTCCACCTCCCCCTCCCCCCCCCCCTTCCTCCCCCTGCTCGAAGTTCTCCATTCATGACCTCTTCTCTCCACTCCCTTTGATTTTTTTTCCACTCTCACAACCAGGGCACTAAGCAAGCGGGTCAAGGCTCCAAGGAGGAGCCTGTCTCACCAAAAGCTCGAGTGCTGCAGGCAGATGCAGCGCGGGGGCAACACGTCTGGGGGTTGCGAAGTTATTTTTCTCCTTCCCTGCCCTCGCCATCATTCACAACCTTTGTAATCCCCCGTGATCTCCCCGTGGTCCCCCTGTGATCTCCCCGTTTTCACAACCAGGGCACCAAGCAAGCAGGGCAAGCCTCTAAGAAGAAACCCGTCTCGCCAACTGCTCGAGTGCTGCAGGCAGATGCAGCATGGGGCCAGCGCGTGTGGGGTTCGCTAATTTCCTCATGGGGACGCCAATCGCTGATGGACGAGGAGACGGATCGGAATTAGGGTTTCACTCGTTCTGAGGAGTTTTGGGGCGCCTCAAAGCTTGATTTCGTCGTGGAATCGCAAAACTCTGATAGATCGGAAGTGTTGGATTGGTATAAGGGTTTCATGCCTTCCAAGAATTAGCACGTGTTGCTGGCTTTCCTCCCTGTCTCCTAAGCAGAAGATGGCACTGATATGTGCAGTTACTAGCATTTTGCGTCTCTTATCATCTATTTTTTGCCTGGAAGGCCCCCAGCCAATGTCTTAATTTTCGGTTTTGCTGCCTCTTCGACTACTAAAGCACGACCACGTTAGCGCAAGCAGTTGGGATTGGATTTCAGATTGCGTCCAACATCATGTCTATTTTGAGCTCGAATACAGTATATCAAGCTCTCACACTTGGTCACACTTGGTACCGTAGTTTTGCCAAGGGGGGTGTCGGGTCGGTCTTGGGTAGCATTGTAGACAGTCATATTATCAGATACTTCAATAGGTGTGCCTCGGGCAATAGGGTTTCAGATACCCCAAAAGCATTCGTGCTGGCTCCAGGCCATCAGCCATTGACTCAGGCCCTTGTATTGTTTGCCAACAAGGTGATAGAGAGAGCAGGCAGAAGCATGGGATTCTCATCGCACACCTTACCCACATGGATTGAAGTCACGTAGCATGATATCATAAGGTCTGTACAAATAACAATTACGATATGTGCATTCCGCTGTGGACACTGTCCCAATCGATGTGTCCCAATCGAGTGTACCGCTCCGAACCGAACTAAACCAGAGACGCGAAAATTTCGAAACTAGGGCGTATTTTGGTGTAATACGATGCAGTGCGGTAGAAACAATTGAGACACTTTCGATTGGGACATGTCCAGTGCGGAATGTACCCTCAGGTGAACTCGATGGCATGCAGAAACCTAGTGATATTGCACTCACGAGCTTATATTGCATGATGGTGGCAACTCAGCCACCAAGGGATAGTGTGGGAAAAAGTCCTACCAGAGCAGACGGCATCAACAACATCATGCCACTATGAAACAAGCCCTTTTTGGATATACCTCCTCGCACCGTAGCTTTGGAAGCACGGCAAGAAAGTAGTACATAGGAATCTCCATATTACCCCAGTAAATCTCCGAAATTTTAGGCCTATTGCACGAAAACGTGCACTACACTTCAGGCGAGGTACCCTCTGCTTCCGCTCAGTCGCGAAGCCTCCACATCATAATCCGACATGGCAGACACAGCATCCACATCTGTCCTTTCAGGCGCAAAAGTATAACTGCTTATCTTCACGCGTGGTACCCTCTGCTTCCGCCGCTCATCTGCGAAGCCTCCATGTCATAATCCGACATGGCAGGCGCCGCTTCGCCATGCGTCCACTGCTTGTACTTGCCCTTGAGCTTGTCCGACAGCTGATGCTTCGACGAAGCCGCGGCGCTGGCGGCTTCCGCGTTCGCGCGCCGCTCCGCCTCCTCCTCGCGCTGCATCTTCGCGACGAGCTTCGCCGTCGCGACGGCTTCTAGATCCTCGTTATAGTCAATGAACCCGCACACGTGGATCATCGTCGCGAGCAGCAGAACGACCATCTGCGCCGCGAAGAGAACGAAGTAAAGCGCGCCGACGATTCGCACGTACTGCTCCCCGACAGCCTCCGTCGACATCGTCGGATCGACGGCATCGACGGTGTTGTTGAAAAGCAGGAAGGTGCAGAGAAACGACGCGCATAACCCGGCGGAGCTCACGGCGAGGCAGAACATGTGGCAGTTGAAGCAGCCCGCTTGGCCGGAGGAGATCGTGCCGAAGAGCCCCGAGATTACAACGAGGACGCCGAGGAGGATGAAGGCCCAACCTGTGAGTGTAGGCGACGACCTAATCACGAATTGGAGGGCGATGGTGGAGATTGCGCCGAGGACGATAACGATGTTGACGAATCGCAGGAAGCTCTTCGACATCTCCGAGATGTTGCCCTTGAGCGACTTCTGCGGCTTCGCCATGGCGACCTCCTGCGACGGCTGCGACGGGTGCGACGGCGGGTGCGAGGGTTGCGATGCGAGGTCTGCGAGGGCAGCTAGAGTTGCTGCGCGCTGTGCTGCAAGGGAGCTACGGAGCTGCTGCGGGGTTCACGAGATAAATGATTTCGGAAAACGCGGTGCTTAATTACGCGGAATGATTAGACCCCTGTTTTAGGTCCTAATAGTAAGCTCGGGAACCGCCTACTGCTGCTGCGAGCCCGAATTATGTTTCAGCTGGTGTTTCCCTGAGCTGGACGGATCAAGCAATGTTCGTGCCGGAGCAATGAGCGAATGCTTTCCAGGACACAGGAGCAGGCCTCCAGACGCGAGCAGTCAGCAGCCAATTTTGCGGGGTATCAATCTTGGAAAGCCGTGGGAATGCTCGGAGGAATAGCAACCGACTAGGAGTCACGCATACTAGTCACGCGAGATCGAAGCAGCGGCTGAGTGAAGACGGTTGGGAACTAGTCGAGGCAGAGCGAAGCAAATCACAAATGGCACTCCTCTGTGTTGTTGTGCGTTGGCACTCCCTGCGTTTCAGTGCATAAGCTGGGCTCCACAGTACGAAAGTCTGACTGACTGCGCTTCCTGCTGCTCCAGCTAGTCAGCCAACCATGCATGTTCACAGGGAACCTCGACTTGAAAGGTCAAACGCGAGGCGTGAGAGACGGTTTTTTAGGTTCAAAAACGTTTGATCGTGGTTCATAGCGGTGGGTCGACCTTGGACGCTGGAAACCAAACCGAAAGTCGCGGTCAGGAGGTGCGGCTGCGCGGGACTGTCTGTCATCTGTGCGACCCGGCGAACCATTTCAGGCATCGCCCATCCGTCATTCACCTTGATGCTTTCGCCAATCAATCCGCGGGGCTGGAAACATGTCCGCAGATGGGGGAGCTGGGGGCGGACTTGAGTGTGGGGGAAGGCCAGGGGGTTCGGGAATATCGCGGACACAGCGGAGTTGCGTGAAGAAGCGAAACGCGCTGACGCTCAGAGCGAAATCTGCAGCTTCTGTAACCAGCATTCAGGTGGGGGAATGCGTGTCGCACTGTTCGCATGACCGTTTCAGCTTTGGTGAAAGGCGCTTCGAATTGTGTCAGCGACCCAGGAATTTGTCTTCGATAAGGCAAGGCACCCTTACTGTACAATACCCGTTAATAAAATCACTACATCATTAGAAATGTCGATGTCGTTGAAGGATTTGTTCACACGAAGTGTGCGACGCCCTCGACGACGCAGTCCAATCACGCAAGATCCCAATTACTCCATCCGCTTGTCAAGAGTTGGTTTCAGGCGGTTCTGTAGGTTCTAGAAAGTTATAGCGTGCACTAAGTCCGATTTCGAGCGAACTTACAGCCTCTATTTTTTGAACCTCCGCATTCTCATCCGTACGACCTGCGAGTATGCGACGTGCTGTGTGAACTCCCCGCTTGGTACCCCCCTGTCCTCCAGGTATCTTGGTTCGGCTGGCCACAAGCCACAAGGGCTTCAAACGAAACAGCTTCTGCGCAAAAACGCGTACACATCTGACCACCAGTGGTTCTACACCACACAAGCTGCCCAGTCCCCAACCAGTGGCAACACCAGCTAAATAGTATCCTCGACTCAACTGTCATTCCATAGAACTCTAGGGAGCCGTTGCATTGCCGGGTAGTTATAAGTCATAATCTAACTCTCTACGCCCAGCTTTAGCACGAGTCGTGACATTTTGCTCGTAGTAGCGACTTGAGTGTAGATGCCTACTGCACTTTCACGGCTCGGCTTTGACTACCCTGTTTATCATGCCCTAATATTAGCTCGAGCTCTTTTCCGTCTCTATAACCTGACTGTTTTAGTTCCGGATACGTTTCAACCTTCTCGCAACATTCCGTACGCGTTTGTCGACGACTCGTTCCGCAAACGCCGCTAACCGTTCAGGCTTCTCGAGAGCAGTGCCGTGCAAATCAGTGTTCCTCAGTATCATTGTATAAAGTAGAAGTCGCGTTCTAGTAAATCAAGTTAATATTCACGAATTCATCGCTAGACCAGAGAGTAATAAGCAGATCTTGTTCAACCTCGTCGCACGGGACCTTATAGTAATATTGAGGAATACCATCGACAACGACTCTCGTATTTCTGCCTATTCGTTGAAGTGAAGTCGAGGCGAGATCTGCTGCAAGCCTGAGTTAGGGTTTGAAGCTTAAGAAGTTGGTTGTGGGACTACGTGGCGTGATACAATTGGAGGCCGAGGGAACGGGGTAGAATGACGTCAGGCCTGCGTCAGCAACGGCTCTGTCGGACGTCAGCATGACGAAGGTTTACCAGGCGTGGAAAGGCAGCAATGTAAGCATGCGTCGCCCTTCCAGCCATGCCCCCATGCACCATGCAGCCATGTACCATGCACCATGCAGCCATGCACCCTGCAGCCATGCAGCGATGCGCACATACAACCATGTAGCCATGCAGTCATGCAGCCGTGTAGCCGTGTAGCCATGCACCCATGCGTCCATGCACCCATGCGTCCATGCACCCATGCGTCCATGCACCCATGCGTCCATTGTACCCATGTTCACCCTTTCACACATGCACCCTTTCAGCCATGCATCCATGCACCCATGCACCCATGCAGCAATGTTCCCATCCAACCGTGCATTCATCCACCGGTTTAGCCTTGCACCAATGCATTCATGCGTTCATGCACCCGTGCACCCATGCACCCATGCACCCATGCATTCATGCAGCCATGCACCCATGCACTCATGCACCCATGCACCCATACATTCATGCACCCATGCACCCATGCACCCATGCATTCATGCACCCATGCATTCATGCACCCATGCACCCATGCACCCATGCATTCATGCAGCCATGCACCCATGCACTCATGCACCCATGCACCCATACATTCATGCACCCATGCACCCATGCATTCATGCACCCATGCACCCATGCACCCATGCACCCATGCACCCATGCACCCATGCACCCATGCACCCATGCACCCATGCACCCATGCACCCATACATTCATGCACCCATGCACCCATGCATTCATGCACCCATGCATTCATGCACCCATGCACCCATGCACCCATGCATTCATGCAGCCATGCACCCATGCACTCATGCACCCATGCACCCATACATTCATGCACCCATGCACCCATGCATTCATGCACCCATGCATTCATGCACCCATGCACCCATGCACCCATGCATTCATGCAGCCATGCAGCCATGCACTCATGCACCCATGCACCCATACATTCATGCACCCATGCACCCATGCATTCATGCACCCATGCATTCATGCACCCATGCACCCATGCACCCATGCATTCATGCAGCCATGCACCCATGCACTCATGCACCCATGCACCCATACATTCATGCACCCATGCACCCATGCATTCATGCACCCATGCACCCATGCACCCATGCACCCATGCACCCATGCACCCATGCACCCATGCACCCATGCACCCATGCACCCATGCACCCATGCACCCATGCACCCATGCACCCATGCATTCATGCACCCATGCACCCATGCACCCATGCACCCATGCACCCATGCACCCATACATTCATGCACCCATGCACCCATGCATTCATGCACCCATGCATTCATGCACCCATGCACCCATGCATTCATGCACCCATGCATTCATGCACCCATGCACCCATGCACCCATGCATTCATGCAGCCATGCACCCATGCACCCATGCATTCATGCACCCATGCATTCATGCACCCATGCACCCATGCACCCATGCATTCATGCAGCCATGCACCCATGCACTCATGCACCCATGCACCCATACATTCATGCACCCATGCACCCATGCATTCATGCACCCATGCACCCATGCACCCATGCACCCATGCACCCATGCACCCATGCACCCATGCACCCATGCACCCATGCACCCATGCACCCATGCACCCATGCACCCATGCACCCATGCACCCATGCACCCATGCACCCATGAACCCATGCACCCGTGCACCCATGCACCCATGCACCCATGCATTCATGCACCCATGCACCCATGCACCCATGCACCCATGCACCCATGCACCCATGCACCCATGCACCCATGCACCCATGCACCCATACATTCATGCACCCATGCACCCATGCACCCATGCACGCGTGCTGATTGTAGACCAGCTCGCTCCCTCTCAGACTCACCTCCCACCATCTCATGACCTCCACCCCACCCCACCCTCCTCCCCATCCGCCCCCATCCCCCTCCCCTCGCGCATCCCTTCCCTTCGCATGTCCCTCGCTCTCCTCACCCTTTTCCGATACCCAAACCTCCTCCCACTCCCCCTTGCCCCTACCATTCCCCTCCCCTCTCCCATTCTCCCCCTCTCCCTCCCTCTCCCATCGTTTCTTGTGCTGGGGGCGTTTCATCTTCGGCCCGGACGTACGGTCGCTGGTCATCTCCTTCGTCCTCACTCCCACTCCTCTTCGCCCCTGCCATTCTCCTCCCCTCTCCCATCCCTCTCCCCCCTCGGGCCTACTCCCTTACGCCCCCCTCCCCCGTCTTTCTATCGCCCCCACACCATTCATTCCCCACCCCTCGCCTTCTCCACCCTCCCCAGCGTTTCTTGTGCTGGGGGCGTTTCATCTTCGGCCCGGACGTACGGTCGCTGGTCATCTCGGTCGTCCTCATCCTCGTGCCCGGCACTCTCTTCTGCATCTTCGTTGCCGCGCCCTACGCGGGGAAGCTTCCCGGAGGCATCGCCGTGCTCCCCGTCTCCATCTGCTTTGTCATCTGGGTACGCGTTTTAGGCTCATAGGAGACGACTTTTGAGGCGCCTCAAAAGTGGGTACGCGTTTTAGGCTCATAGGAGACGACTTTTGAGGCGCCTCAAAAGTGGGTACGCGTTTTAGGCTCATAGGTAACAATGAACGACCTATGAACTGACTTTTGAGTTGACTCAAAGTCAGCCCATCTGCTTTGTCATCTGAGTACGCGTTTTAGGCTCATAGGTCCCTTGTTATGTTGAACGACCTGTGAAGGACCTTCTGACCTCCTTTCCCTTAAAAGTTTCTCCCAATACAACCCAAGCTTCTACCCCCTTACCCTCCTCTTGCTCTCCCTCTCCCTGATTTCCCATCCCTCCCTTCCCTCCCTCCCCTTCCTCCCCTCCCTCCCTCCCCACCACCGTCCCTCCTCTCTCAGAATCTCTTCATTCTACTCGTGACAGCGAGCAGGGACCCGGGCATCGTACCTCGCAACCTCGTGCCACCGCAGCCAGATGAGGAGGCAGGGAGTCTGACTTAAAACATCACTTGCCCGCCCCCGCCTTACTCCCCTTCACCAGAATCTCTTCATTCTGCTCGTCACAGCGAGCAGGGACCCGGGCATCGTACCACCGCCCCCTCCTCCTTCCTTCCCCCTTCCCATTCCCCCCTCCTCCTATTCCCCCCCTACTCTCTCTCCCTCAGAATCTCTTCATTCTGCTCGTCACAGCGAGCAGGGACCCTGGCATCGTGCCTCGCAATCTCGTGCCACCACAGCCAGATGAGGAGGCAGGGGAGCAGGCAGCGGGAGGGGCGCCGAAGAAGCTGCCACGAGCCAAGGAGGTGGTGGTGAACGGGCACACGGTCAAAGTGAAATACTGCGACACCTGCCTGCTGTACCGGTGGGTTATTTGAGTCGCTAGACCTCTTAAAATTGGGCGACTTGGAGCGATTGCTCTATTCTTATGGGTGCATGTCTTGCGCTTGAACTGCCTGGAAGCAAGAGCCAAGGAGGTGGTGGTGAACGAGCATATAGTCAAAGTCACGTACTGCGACACATGCCTGCTGTACCGGTGGGTGTGTTGGGCGTGTTGTGTTTTGGTGAATCGGTGCAATGAGCAGTCTGCTGTGTGCTCTGTGCCCTTGTGTGCACTTCCCTCCCTTGAGGTGCCTCGAATGAAAGCACGAAGGTCTTGCACTCGTGTGCATTTGACGCCTCCATTTTCTTTTATTAATGTTTCAGTTGCTTCATATGAGCTGAGTACCCCCTTCTAACTGCCCTAAATCCTACTGTCCCGTTTCTTTTCCTTCAACCCCCTCTCCCGTTCCTGAATGGTGACAAACCAGGCCGCCCAGATGCTCGCACTGCAGCATATGCGACAACTGCATCGAGAAATTCGACCACCACTGCCCGTGGGTGGGGCAATGCATTGGACGGGTGAGCCGAGGTTTAGAATTTGGGGTTCGGGATTTCAAGCATAGGGCGGGTTGAGCATTTGACCACCACTGCCCTTTGGTGGGGCAGTGTATTGGACGGGTGAGCTGCGGGTGTTTCGGGTTTGGGCTTCAAGGTGGGGCAGGGTAAGCCTTAGTAATGCAGGGTGTGTTGTGGGTGGGACAGTGCATAGGCAGGGTGAGCCGAGGGTGTTGTTGGGGGTTCAGGAGTTCGGATTTGGATTTACGGTGGGGCAGGAGGAGCCTTGAGGGGGCTAATTTTTTTGTCGTCTCCTCATTCAATCCCTGAATGCCACTCAAAACTCGTCCCATCACAGTGGGATTCAGGGTGGGGTGGGATGAGCCTTGAGTGGGGCAGTGCATTAGGAGTGGGAGAGTATGGGTCTGGCTTCGTGCAATGTACCCTACCGCTCTCCATCGTCCTATCATCTTCCTGCGTGCATCCCTCCTTCCATGTTGCATCCGCATCATCCCTCCTTCAATGCTCAGTTCATGCTTCAATTTACCCAAACCACTGCCTAACCCTCTCTGCCCCAAGCCGGGAGGGTGTTTGGAACCCCACTGGTGCCCTCCCCTCCCCCTCCCCTTTAACCCTTGAACCTTTTCTTCATTCTTCTGCCCCCCTTTGCCCCCTCATCCCCGCCCGCCCCCTCTGCAGCGCAACTACCCCTTCTTCTTCCTATTCGTCACCACCACCACGATGCTCTGCATCTTCGTCTTCTCCCTCTCCGTCCTTCCAATTATTCTTTCCCCCCTCTCTCCGCTGCTCCTCATCCCCCTCCCTCCCCTCCCCCTTCTCCCGCACTCTCCCCTCCCCTCCTTGCAGCGCAACTACCCCTTCTTCTTTCTCTTCGTCACCACCACAACTCTCCTCTGCATCTTCAATCTTCACCCTCTCAGCTTTCTACATCAAGCTCCTCGTAGACAAATCCTACCCGGGCGCCAACGTTGGAAAAGGAGAACATGGCCCTCGGCCTCCCCGTTCATAACCCTTCACCTCATTCTTCTGCTCCCCCTTGTCCCCCTCTCCCCCCATCCTCTACCCTCCCTCCCTCCGCAGCGCAACTACCCCTTCTTCTTTCTCTTTGTCACCACCACAACCCTCCTCTGCATCTTCGTCTTCACCCTCTCAGCCTTCTACATCAAGCTCCTCGTGGACAACTCCTACCCGGGCGCCAGCGGGCAGAGCATCTCGCTGCTAGAGGCGCTGGGGAAGGGGTACATGGCGGCGGTGCTGATGGTCTACACGTTCATCATGGTGTGGTTCGTGGGAGGACTCACCGGCTTCCACTCCTTCCTCATCTCGCGCAACCAGGTGTGTGTGTGGCAAGAGTGGGTTGCTCTCCCCCCCCTAAGGGGTTAACAGCTGGGGAAGGGGTACCTGGCAGCGGTGCTGATGGTATACACGTTCATCATGGTGTGGTTCGTTGGAGGACTCACCGGCTTTCACTCCTTTCTCATCTCGCGCAACCAGGTGTGTGTGTGGCAAGAGTGGGTTGCTCTCCCCCCCCTAAGGGGTTAACAGCTGGGGAAGGGGTACCTGGCAGCGGTGCTGATGGTATACACGTTCATCATGGTGTGGTTCGTTGGAGGACTCACCGGCTTTCACTCCTTTCTCATCTCGCGCAACCAGGTGTGTGTGTGGCAAGAGTGGGTTGCTCTCCCCCCCCTAAGGGGTTAACAGCTGGGGAAGGGGTACCTGGCAGCGGTGCTGATGGTATACACGTTCATCATGGTGTGGTTCGTTCGTTGGAGGGTTAACGGGCTACGAGAAACTTAGAGCGCTCTACGAGAAGAAGGCCGACCCATACCCCAAAGGACCCTACAATCTCCATCCGTCTCCACCCTTTTCTTCCCTTGCTCCTCTCCTCCCGCCCTTGCTTCATCAGACCACGTACGAGAACTTTCGAGCGCGCTACGAGAAGAAAGCCAACCCATACAACCTCGGGTGTCTGCACAACTGGCGCTCCGTGCTCTGCTCTCCCATCCCCCCCTCCCGCCACAACTTCCGAGCCGACGCCCCCGAACCTCCCCCCACCGTACCTCCCGTTACCGACCCTACCTCCTCTTCCAACCATGCTCTGATACCAACGGCAAATACCAACGGGCACATGCATGACGACGCGCAGAGGAACAGAAATGGGGTGCCGTATATGAATGGTCTGGTCCCATATGCCCCTTATGCTCAGTACAACACCACGCCTTCAGACCCTGCTGCTGCTGCTGCTGCAGTGCCGGCAGGAACAGCAGCAGCGGTGGCAGCGGCAGCAGGTGTGGCAGGAGTAGCAGTCAATGCAGTATCAGTGCCACGAGTAGGATCAGGAAGAGCGGGAGGGCTAGGAGGAGGGGGAGTAGGGGGACTGGAGGCTGGGGGAACGAGCGTGATAGACCCAGCAGCAGCAGCCGACGAATCAGAAGCCCCCATTCTTCCCGCCATGCGTAACCGCAACTCCCGACCCAACTCCCGCCGAACCTCCCCAGCCTCCATACCTGGGTCTCGCCGAGCCTCCCCGGTAGGCTCGTGGAAAGGCTCCCCAGGACACGGTTCAAAGCGGAATTCTCCCCACCACCACGGGTCGTCTCGTCTCAGTTCCCCAGGTCTATCTGGCAGATCTCCAGTCAATAAGAGGCAATCAGAATACGACTTAGTAGAAGCAACCCGACTGACGGACGACGAAGGAGGCAGGATTGCAGATCGGATAGTGGAGCTTGGGAGAATGCCGGATGATTATATGGCAGGTGGAGCCGGGGAGGAGAGTGTGGATAGCAGTGGTGTGCCGAGGAGTGTGAGTGGGAGGAGGAGTGGGAGTGGGAGGCGGAGAGGTGAGGAGATTGTGGTGCTGGAAGGAAGTGAAGGGAAGGAACGGAGAGATGAAGTGGGTGGTGGTGAAGAGGTGGTGGTGGATGTGCCAAGTGCAGGGTGATGCTTTGACATGAGATGAGATACAAACGTGCGCCGAAAACAAACATGCTTTGGCATGGGGCTGAGTGTTGATTGACGCTTTGACTCGAGATAAGATGACACGTCACACACGTGGCGGTAGTATTATCACATGAGATGAGATGAAACAGCTAGTGGCATGCCAGTTGTGGGTCTCCTGAAATTTTTATGTAGTGACCTGCTTGGTTGTTGGCTTTATGATCAATGCATGTGTTGGTGTTTTTGCATGTTTACTTCTGTACACTAATATACATCCAGTCTTAAACTGATAATTCACTGGCTTAGCAATTAGATACACAACTTCAGTTATCTTTCACCTGAAATACATTTCATAAGTTGAGCCTGCCTAAACGTGTACATTATTCAGTGCAGGTTCAAGAAACTCCGCATGATGAAGAAACTGAGCTCTGTCAGACATGTGGCGGTGTTTCCCGCGCAAACAACCGCAACCATGATTCTCCCGCGCTTCGTGGATGCTGTAACTTCTCTCACGAAACTTATCGAAACTCTCGGAAGTCAATCATCCCGCAAGCGAAGGGCCAAATTTTTCGGTTTCACGAAAGTGAGCCTGTCCGCCGACAGTGCGGCGGCCTCCCTCAGGGCTGGGGAAGGGAAGCAAATGCCTTGCTGCTTTCTTCCTCTTCTCTCTCTTGTTTCAGTGGATCCCTGTAAACCGCTCTGAATCTCTCTGAGTTCCGAGACATGCCCCACTGAACCACTCTTTTCACTCCCTGAATCTCATTATCAAGCGTCCCTGAACGCCATTCCCATGATCACCTCGCTCAGACTCCTAGTCCTAGAGAATAGACTTGTTTGGTTCCTTGGAATCCATGGCCGCCGTCTGAAGTTTTGTCACCAACCGTTAACCAGGACTAAATCTTAATCTTCGTAGCAGCTTTTTTTTGTAGATCTTATGTTCGAGTTTTATGGTCTAGCATGATTGAGGAATACTCAAGGGTCAACTCGTTTCGTCAGCTATCCATTATGGCGGCCGTATAGATTAAAGACCGTTAAATACCTCTCCAGCACAGTCCTAGTCGTATCTGAAGATGATAAAGCGATACTACGTTATTTTAGGTTAGAGTCGCTCGCTCGATTATAAATCAAGTAGCATCTCCCTATTCAATACCGTATTCTGAATGATTAGGCCGTTATCTGAAGCGCCATTATGATCGTCTAGCACTTTGAAAAAACTCTGCTTAAGGCCGTCAGATACGGTCTCGTGACGTCGATTCGGCTCATAGTGATGCCTCTCGGCTCTTCTTCAGCCCGTCATGAGCCATGGATCACTAGGCGACAGCCACAGCTGGTTCAGGCCGCAGCAACGATGACGCCGTTCTGAAATCCGATTTCTGAAATTCGACTTCTGAAACACGAGTCGAACACGACGTCACTGACCGAGGCACAGACCGAGACGGAGGCAGGGATTTTGAAATCGTAAACGGTGTCTTTGGACGGGGACGACGGAGACGGCGAGTTCTGACGACAACGATAGAGATGAGAGGTGCTGACGGTGACGTTCGCCTCAAACGGAGACATAAATTCCCGACGGACGATGGTGACGGCGACAATCTAGACATATCTGACGTTACGAGGAGGAGCTCTAACGGTGGCGATTGACGTCTTCTGATGGTGTCGATTGTATTTGACGGTGACGTAGAGGATCGGTGTCGTCTAATTGTTGGGAGTGATGGTCGAGACGGCGAGTTTTTTTGCCGCTGATCGAGAATAAGACGGAGTTTCTGGCGGCGTTCATCCCGTTGAGGAGTTCTTACGGCTGATTGGCGTCGTCTGATAAGGTTCAGAGGATGGAGACGGACGATCTTCTAACGGTGACGGGGAGGTTCCTTGTTGACGACGGAAGCTGCGTTGACGGCGAAGGCGAAACCGAAGTCGAGGCGAAGGCGAAGTAATATTTGACGGAGTGGAAGCTGCTCTGACGGCGACGATATGCTGAGATCTCCAGAGACGCAAAATCTCGTTCCTGACTGGGACGGCGAGTCTTGAGGATCGGACGATCGGACGGCGATTCTGATGTTGAGATCGCGATAAGTGCTGACGGTGACGATTAAGTCTGGGATTTTCGACGGTGACGAGGCGAAAATCAAGACTACGACTGAGGCGGGGAGTTACGTCGACGATCATGGCGGAATCGTGGAAGGCTGACGAGTGCGACGTGTTCGTCAATGATGACGATCCAGTCGCCGTTGCATGGCGTTGATGCTGACGATCCAGTCGCCGTCGCATGGCGTTGATGCTGACGATCCAGTCGCCGTCGCATGGCGTTGATGTTGACGATCCAGTCGTCGTCGCATGGCGTTGATGCTGACGATCCAGTCGCCGTCGCATGGCGTTGATGCTGACGATCCAGTCGCCGTCGCATGGCGGTGATGCTGACGATCCACTCGCCGTCGCATGCATCGGAACCTATACCTGTGTGTCAAACAGCATGCCATCCAGTGGCTTGATGTTTGATAGGCATCGCTGGGGAAGTTTTCGCGATGCCTGGGACTGGCGTGTTGCAATACACACTTACAGCGTGTCACCTGCAGGTTGATTTCAACATCCCATGCGGCATCATTCCCAACCCCAGGTTTCGCTCCACAATCGAACTCGCCATTTCCCAAAGCGCGCAAGTACTGTACAAAGCCAATTGCGGAAAAGGGTTCGGTACTCTTTTTTTCCGGGTCAAGAGTTTCGGGTTGATGCAAAACATTTGTGAATAAATCGAAGCGGGACTGTTCGCAATCAAGTGACTCTACATTTTTCTAATATAAGCCTACGAAACAGTTTGAGAATTGAAATGGTGAATCATTGTTTTCGTACATAAACTCAAGCTAGCTTACAACGGATCGTTTCGCGGCCGAGGCGGCGGAACTGTAGCTTTGTGGTTACCGAATGGTTGTTACGGTTTTCCATTTATTATGTTACATTTGTAACCGTATTAACATTAGTCACCGTGGTTACCAAGAGTTCAAACAATTTATTTATTTCTTCATTACAGCAATCCGTACAAACTAATAATTGTCCTGGGGACGTAAACTGGGCCAGTTTCAATTACGAATTTAGCAACAGCAGCATTAAATAGAACCTGCACCACGACCAATACAGCAATTTGGACATACACGGCACGATAAATCCAAATTTTAAATAATTGACGTCAACTCAACGAGCAGAAAACCAGCATTACATCACTATTGCGACCTAAAACAGGTACGTCCACGATCATGCATATTAGCAAGACTCCGGTCAAAACTCACTAATAGCAAACACACAGAGCGACAACCACCTGCCGTGCGGATCGCCGGGAATTCCGCAACCTGCAAAAAGAACACAGTTAGAAGAAAACAGCCTCACCACGGGTTGAGAAGCCTATGAAGACTCTTGTCATACGATTCCTGCGCAGTAAAGAGAGACAGAACACAAGCAAAGCGAGAAAACATTACGTCGCGCGGGCGCATTATGTAGGTTGGAAAATCAGTATAACACCGTGCAGAACTGCGCGACAACAAGGGAAACATTTTAGTGGTGAATGCATTTGAGTAAGACGCACAAGTGCTGAACATACACAAAAAGCGAACGCAAAACAATTAATATGCACCAGAGAGTATCCTGGTAACGGCAAGGGGAAGGGCAGAAACCGAAAGGAAGGCGGCAAGGGAAACGGCGGCGGAAGAGACAACAGGAAGGGCGGAAGCGGAAAGGGCGGCGGGATCGGTGGCGGAATTCTGGGAGCGCTG